GTTATTACTGACACCGGACTGGTCATGTTGACTCCTCCTGGACAAACTGGGACCTGTTTAAAAATGGCGGCTTAAGGCTTAATACTCTCTTTTATCATCCTTTGAGAGGATCTACTGGTACACGTTAACCCACTTAAGAGGAAAGCTGATGTGGACCCTCTTTTGATAGTCGTTTGGCCATCTGCTGGGCTCGATGACGATTGGCGTGGCCGGTGGTGGATTCCTCCAATCGAGTGATGGCAACTGACAGCGACTGTGGTTAAATACTTGTTACTCGGGGCAGCTGTGATTTTCATTGATCGGTTTGCCTCGCTGTGTCAGGTTGTGTCTGAAAGTACTGTTGAACACGAGTGTGTTATTTGAGATCATTGATGTTTAAGTTGTTTATGAAAATAGGGCCCAGGTTTAGATTTATACTGATTTTGCTATATTTGTGTATTTGTTTTGTGTTAGTTTCACTAGGTCTAAGTGCGATGCGCTCTTTGTGGTTTGGTTTTGAAATTGTTGTTTTTACTACCTTGCGTAGGTTAACTCGTTACCTCTCAGTAGAGATTTCTTTTTGGTCATTGGTTTAAGCAGCATCCAATCGGCCATTTTTCTGTTACAGTTTACTGCGTTTCAGTTCTTACCTTACAAAGAAATAAGTTTTCTTTACCAAATCCATCTGGTTTATGTTATCTTCATTGGCCACATGAGCCCGGTCGTAACATCTTCATATATATTTTGTTGTTATTTTATATCTGTGTGTTTTCTATTGTTTATACTTGTGTCAATACATCATTGATACATTTACTGTTTTGACATTTTTTTTCTTTTTGTGAAGTATAGTATAGTAGGCATGTTGAGTTTTATTTCCTGAAGTATTTGTTAGATGTGTACAAACTCAATTTTCAATAGTCTCATTAAATTAGTCGACACAAAGAGAAGCTTTGACTCATCATTTGAAACCGGATGTTCAATGAACTGTTTCCATTCAGCAGTATTTGTTGTGGTTCTTCAGAAAATATGACAAATTCTGACAGGTCCAAAATATAAACACAGCAACTTGCAGCATCCTCTAAATCCTGCTGGTGTAGAAAGTTCTGACATGTGGTTTAACTTGAATCTAGGTTATATTGTGTTTAATGAAAAAATGCTCTTGTCTGATAGACAACAAAACTGTTGTTTTTATTGAATCGTATTCATCTCATACAGAAATCTTCAGCAAAAATAAAATAGCCTACAAACGACAGAATAATAGAAGATGACACAAATTTGGATACACAGGGGGATCACATAGCAAGCAACAAAGGCATTAAAGAAAAATAGTCTTTATACATTTTAACTGTTTTAAATTCTTCAAACTATATAATGCTTCAATATAATGTATGATTATGCTCCTCCCCTACTACAGGTTGTGTCCGGGGTGAGATGGATCTGCGGTGATGTTTCCTGCCTGTTTCCTGACTCTGGGTGGGGGGGCTCCTCCTGAAGTCCACAGTCATCTCCACAGTTTTGAACGTGTTAAGCTCCATGTTGTTCTGACCGCACCACAGCACCAGCTGATCAACCTCCCGTCTGTAGGCCGACTCATCACCGTCCCGGATGAGGCAGATGACTGTTGTTTCGTCAGCGAACTTCAGGAGTTTGACAGATGGGTCTCCTGAGGTGTAGTCGTTGGTGTAGAGGGAGAAGAGCAGTGGGGAGGGCACACACCCCTGTGGGGCGCCAGTGCTGATTGTCCGGGTGCTGGATGTGATGTTTCCCAGCCTCACCTGCTGACTCCTGACAGTCAGGAAGTCTGTGATCCACTGACAGGTGGAGGCTGGCACAGTGAGCTGGGTGAGTTAATAGAATAAATAGATAAATAGAGAGAGACTCTTACAGTAGAATATTATAGAGCCTGTGAAGTTATCAGAACGGGCTGCACCCATTGTACCAGTCCTAAAAACCAGATTGCAGCACGAGAATTTGTGGAGACTATAAGCTGACAGTAATCAAGGTGTTACCCATCAAACTGGACCTGTTGCCAGAAAAGGTGAAAGCAGTGCTGGAGGCTGAGCTCATTGAGGACTGTCGGAACTTTTACGATAAGTTCAAAGCCAAACTTGTCGACATTACTGGCACCTCTGCATAAATTGCTGGGGAACGGTGAACTGTGGTCCTGGGGGCCAGAGCAAGACAGTTCTTTCCAGCAGTCAAAACAACTTTTGCAATCCAACAGTGTGCGTGTGCACTATAATAAAAAGAGGGAACTGCTACTTTCCCGTGAAGCTTCCTCATATGTAGTGGAAGCAGCGCTGCATGTCTGACGGAGAGGAGAGGCCTAAAGGGTCTGCATCCTGAAATCTTTCAGCTGCAGAAAAGAACTACTCCCAGCTAGATAAAGAAGGATTAGCTGTTATTTTTTGAGTACAGTATTTTCACAAGTATTTGTATGGCTCGAAATTTGAGATTTGCACAGTATAAGCCATTGATAAATGTATTCCATAAGATGAAGGCTGTATATTATGTTATGTTATGAGTATGTTATCAGGTACAGACCAGGTAAAGACAACGGAAACGCTGACGCCCTCTGATGCCTCCCACTGCCAGGGAAACCCAGAGGTCCAGCACCAGAGGAGCGTGTGTTAATGTTGGAACAGAGGCAAGGTCCATTAATGATCTCATCTTAACTTCAGAAGTGGACCACTAAGGATCCCATACTCACAAGGGTGCAGGAGTAAGTACTGAGTAGATGGCCAAATAAACAGGAAATAGATTTTAAGCCGTACAGACAGAGACAACATGAGCTGTCCCTTGTATTTAATAAAAAAACATGACTGTGACCTTGTTAATGTGTAACTGCAAACATCTTTTGTCCTTTATCTTTAAAAAAAAAAAATTATATATATTATTTTAAATATTCAGTTTCAAAAGTAACCTGACAGACAAAACTTTAAATTGTTTAGAATATTTCATATTATATTAAGTATATATTATAAATATATAATATAAATATGCAAATGTGTGCACATAAAACAGAGGGGAAATGGTAAGATGGGCCTTGTTTATGAACCTGACATGATTAAAATAAAATAAGACTTTACTGATCCTATACTGGGAATATTTGCATGTTGCAGCAATTTTAGAAACAGTGAAAAAATGAAACATAATTTACAAAGATGAAAAATGAAAGAAAAATGAAAATAAACAATGTAATTAAGATAAAAACTAAAATTTCACATTTTGAAATTAATTTAAATTTGTTTTAGTAAGGACAGTATGAGTGATCTGCATTTTGAGTGCTTTTTACTGACACCTACTACACTGAGCTCCTTATGAGACAGACCAAAATAAATCAGCCGCTCTCTTAATATAAGCATGCAGCTTCCTGTCCTAGTCCAAGGAGAAGACATAATAATGTGATCTGAACCTGTGGTCTAGTCTTCTCCCCAATTATCTCTGCCCTCTTCCTGCATTATCTGAACAAAGTGACTTTATCAGCTGACCTGAGACTAATGTTTCTAATAGAGATGTCTAGAAACGCCTTCTCATAAACATCCGGATTAATCAGACCTCTGTCTTTCTGACCCACGCTTTTGGCATATTCTGTTGGTATAATATGACAAACATGTTTTAATATATGCTGCAAAACAGAGAAAAGTCACCACATTAGCAGCGGGACAAAAGAAACACTTGTGGTCAGGTGTAGTGGGACAAAATAAAACACTTGTGGTCAGGTGTAGTGGGACAAAAGAAACACTAGTGGTCAGGTGTAGTGGGACAAAAGAAACACTTGTGGTCACTGTAGCGGGACAAAAGACACACTTGTGGTCACTGTAGCGGGACAAAAGAAACACTAGTGGTCAGGTGTAGTGGGACAAATGAAACACTTGTGGTCACTATAGCGGGACAAAAGAAACACTTGTGGTCAGGTGTAGCGGGACAAAAGAAACACTTGTGGTCAGGTGTAGCGGGACAAAAGAAACACTTGTGGTCACTGTAGCGGGACAAATGAAACACTTGTGGTCACTGTAGTGGGACAAAAGAAACACTTGTGGTCAGGTGTAGTGGGACAAATGAAACACTTGTGGTCACTGTAGTGGGACAAAAGAAACACTTGTGGTCAGGTGTAGTGGGACAAATGAAACACTTGTGGTCACTATAGCGGGACAAAAGAAACACTTGTGGTCCGGTGTAATGGGACAAATGAAACACTTGTGGTCACTATAGCGGGACAAAAGAAACACTTGTGGTCCGGTGTAATGGGACAAATGAAACACTTGTGGTCACTATAGCGGGACAAAAGAAACACTTGTGGTCACTGTAGTGGGACAAAAGAAACACTTGTGGTCAGGTGTAGTGGGACAAAAACACTTGTGGTCACTGTAGCGGGACAAATGAAACACTTGTGGTCAGGTGTAGTGGACAAATGAAACACTTGTGGTCACTATAGCGGGACAAATGAAACACTTGTGGTCACTGTAGCGGGACAAAAGAAACATTTGTGGTCACTGTAGCGGGACAAATGAAACACTTGTGGTCACTATAGCGGGACAAAAGAAACATTTGTGGTCACTGTAGCGGGACAAAAGAAACACTTGTGGTCACTATAGCGGGACAAAATAAACATTTGTGGTCACTGAAGCGGGACAAAAGAAACATTTGTGGTCAGGTGTAGTGGGACAAAAGAAACACTTGTGGTCACTGTAGCGGGACACAAGAGAAACTAACAGAAATTTACATGCCGTGCTCGAAACCAGTTACTTTGCAACAGCATGGTAGAGGTCCTGAATTTCAGTTATGGCTTTTGGTTTTAATGTGCCACCCCTGGATTTCTCGTGGCCCTATCTGGCCCCCCTATGGAAAAATTTCTGGGGGCACACTGGATGTTAGTATTTAGCTCAAAGTACAGCCTCACAGAGCTGCAAGCATGGCTTCAGACTCTGATCAGAAGGTCAGTGTTACCTGTGGTCACAGAGAGGGCTGGATCTGCTGGAGCTGTGCCATGGGAAGCTAGAAAAACAACATTTTCATCAGAGTGTTCATCTCTATTATTATAAACTATCAGCGTCAGTAAGTTTACTGCCAAATGCAGCAGAGGAAACTGGACAGTAAAGTAGAAAAAGGAAACTGTGGTTTGAACTGCTCTGAGAGAAAAAAAGCCCAGTGCGATCTCACATCACCAAGTGGTACGATGGGACAAACATCTCTTCAGTGGTCGATCTGTAAGTACAATCTGTTCATAGGTTCATAGGTAGCTTTATTGTCACACATGCACAGTACACAGTGAAATTTGTTTCTATTGGAGCAAGCCTCCGGGCCGCAGCTATATTCAGCGCCGCCACTCGCTTTCCAGAAAATAATTAATGCAGACAGCTACATAGTATACATGGCATAACAACATACAATACATAATAATACACAAGACAACACACATTACATGCGGTCACATGGGGGGTATGGTGCGAGTAAGATAATGAGTCTGTGTTTGTGAAATATGCGGCTTCAGACTGACTATGTTGTTAAAAAAAAGTCCTGTTCATTGGCCTTGTCCTTGACGAGAGATAAACCAGTGCGCAGGAGAAGATAGGAAGGCCAGCTGCAAGTCGTTTTCCCGCTCGGGTGGAGAAGGGGAGGGGAATCATTTTTAATCCAATTTAGGTTCTGTCCACATTTCAGTAACTACACAGTTAGCAGGTGAGCTGAGCTGGAGAAGTATAAAGGTGAGATAAAGGATCAAACTGTCTGGAAAACGTCAGACAGAAGAGTTTATTGATCAGTGAAGCCAAAACAAGCAATAGAGGACAGAGAGAGTCAGAAGTTACTGAAATTACAGAGAAATGTGACGAGCAAACAGGAAAGAAGATCATTGTTTAACAGTTTGTTCAGACTTTGTTCTTACTTCACTCTGATACAACCTTTAAGAGCAGGAAGTGAAACCAGCTTTAAACTGGATGTTAAAGGGACAAAGACTGAAACACACAGTCATGTTAAAGCTGGAAGATACTGTGAGTGTTCAGTGAGGATCAGGGTCTCCATCTTCTCTGAGGTGTACAGTTGTTGTGTCTGCAGTAAAACCTCAAACCAACCTGAGTGTGATTTCTCTTTAGTTCTGGCCTCACTGCTGTGCTGCACAACAAACCAAGGTGAGTAAACTCCTTCTGCCAGCGTCTGAAACTCACTGTCTCACAAATCCTGACAGAAAAGTCAGTGTTGAGGACACAGCTGGGAAATCAGGATGATCAGTGAAGATGTTTCTACATTCACAGATCAGTCAGTCTCTTAATAACAGGACCTAAGAGGCTTTTCATCCCAGCAGACTCACTTTTCACGACTCAGTTCCACCTGGGTTCCTCACACTGGGGCCAGATTAGGATTCTGTTGCTATAAACATACACAGTATCTCACAAAAGTGAGTGCACCCCTCACATTTTTGTAAATATTTGATTATATCTTTTCATGTGACATAAGACTGAAGAAATGACACTACTTTACAATGTAAATTAGTGAGCGTTCAGCTTGTATAACAGTATAAATTTGCTGTCCCCTCAAATTAACACATCACACAGCCTTTAATGTCTAAACCGATGGCAACAAAAGTGAGTGCACCCCATCGGCTTAACCAGGTACGCCAGTTAAAGCCCCAGATGTTCTGACTGTGTCTCCACATGCACATTTAAAAAGACTAACAAGGCTACATCAGGCATGCCTGCATGTATGTAGACTCAACTGGGATTAAATTAAATGAGAAAAGTTGATATACAGGAGAAACATATCTGACAGAAATACAAAATGCCTGACAGCCTTACTGCATTATATTACACTACATATTTTTTATTTTGAATTGTCACCTCAGACATTCCCCAATAACTGGTACACACTGGTAGAGGACTGGTAACTGTTACAAAAACTGTCAATATTTTGTGTGGCCACCATTATTTTCCAGGACTGCCTTAACGCTCTTGTGCATGGAGTTCACCAGAGCTTCACAGGTTGCAACTGGAGTCCTCTTCCACTCCTCTGCCCTCCGTTTGAGGATGCTCAATAGGGTTTAGGGTTATCATGTTGGACAACTGCCCTGCGGCCCAGTCACCATGGAGAGGCCTGTTCTGAGTGGAACCTGTCCTGTTGAATCGCTGTATGCTCTTGGCCTCAGTTTCAGGGTCTTGGCAATATTCTTATAGCTTAGGCCATCTTTATGTGTGAAGGAGTGTGAGAGCGATAACACCAACTTTAACACACCTGCTCCCCATTCGCACTTGAGATTGTGTAACATGTAGCAAACCTACTTAGTCAGTTAGTTAACCAATCAGTCAGTCTTATATCAAAGCCGTGAATCCTCCGTCAAGTGACCTGGATTTAAACAGTACACACACACAGTTCCTGTGATTAAGGTGAAATTTATTAACTAACTTTAAACTTTAAATATATCAAAGACAAACAGCAATAATCATTAAACAACCAGAAGTTAATCAATGAGAGTAACAGAGTTTAAGGTGAATTTAGTTGGTCCATTGTGGAAAGAATTTGGGAGTAAGAGAACTAAGGAACACAAGTTATATGATCATAACTGAGTTAACTAAGGCTAGAAGTTTTAGGCTAAAGGATTAAAAATAAAGAACATCCACTGAGCAGCCTTACAGCCTGTTGGTTTCTCAGCCGGTTTGTGTTCGGGTGGCCCCATGACTAGTTAGCGCTCAGGTCCTTGGTGTCCACAGTTTCAGCAGCCTGGCACGCCAAGACCGACGTTTTACTAGCAGGTTTGTCCTGGAGATCCGTCCTAGTCGGCTTGGGTTGAAGAAAACTTCCAGTGATAAGCCGTTAGCGTGGCTTGGTTCATTGGTTGATGTCCTCAGTGTCACAGCTAGTGTAACTAACCCACGTGGCTGGGTCCGATCTTTGGTGGAGCAGCAGAAGTTAATTCGACTGAAATAACGCTTCACTACTTCAAAGCGCGAGAGCAAAATATCTAGTCTGTCTGTCAGTGGTCTTAAGTCTAATTTATGCTGTGTGACCAGAAACTTCAGTTACCACAGTCACAGAAAACTAGTTTTGCTTGATATCATGCACAATGTGTTAAACATGAGTAGCTAACCACAACCTAGCTATAGTCATGTCCGAGTGCACAAATGCACTACCAGTCAAGCTTCACGTAAAGAGGGCTAACGTTAGCTAACTGTTATCCATGTCATTATATAAAAAGGAGACAATGATAGACTGCGTGACCTTGCCAACGGTAAATATAAATAATCATTAAATCATGCCATAGTACATTTAAAAGCATTTCTATTGAAATGAGTGACGTCAACTTACCTCCATCTAGCCTGTACACGTTACTACGCCGTCTCCAGTAGAGCTGAGGGCTTGACGGAGCCATCAGAGCGAGGGGATTGTGGGCGTGACTATGTGGTAAATGCAAACCCATGATTGGTCAGTCAAACCCACCAATAGAATCTCTTCTATTGACCATTTTTGACTAGCAAAACTTTTTGACTTGTAAAACTTTCTGACTCGCAAGAACTTGCAATCAAATAATATGACATAATAGCAATAAAAACCTTTTGTGACACAAAAAGGCCTGTTTATTTTTAATTACAAACTTGATTTTTGATTGCAGTGTGATAAATATTCTCTCAAAACATTTCTTTTTGCTTGCATTAAAAAGACCTTCGTAGTAATAGAACTACTCAAATTGAAGTCGCAGGCCACTAAGTAACTTAACAAAGATTATTTAATTCAAACAGGGTAATAAGGGAAGTTTAAAAGGGGAAGCCTAGTTCAGGATGAGGTGAGTCTCTGGACAAGGTTAATATTGTCATTTTAACAGTCATGCATAGAGTCTGTTATCTCAACTTCACCGGAGGTTTTATGGCCGAAACTGCACAAACAGCACTTGGCAATGGAGCAAACCACCTGCTTTGGGGTACTTCAGCTGGCTGGTTCACTACAAACACTAATGGGTCACATGACTACAGTGAGAGAAAATGGCTAATTGGGCACAATTTGGACATTTTCACTTAGGGGTGTACTCACTTTTGATGCCAGCGGTTTAGACATTAATGGCTGTGATGTGATGTGTTATTTTGAGGGAACAGCAAATTTACACTGTTATACAAGCTGCACACTCACTACTTTACATTGTGGCAAAGTGTCATTTCTTTAGTGTCACATGAAAAGATTTAATCAAATATTTACAAAAGAAGTGAGGGGTGTGCTCACTTTTATGAGATACTACATACCACTCTGCATGATGAGTACTTTTACTTTACATTACTTTTACATGTTACTTATAATACTGATAAAGCTAAAGCTTTTAAACTTTTTCTTTAATTCAGTGTTGAATGTAGGACTTTTCTTCGTCATGGATTGTATTATTATGGTTAATTACCACTTAGATAAACGATCTGAATGTTTCTCCCACCCCTGCCAAGACCAGGGTTCATGTTCTGAGTGTGTTCAGGTTCAGTTTTAAAGGCACTTAAAGTTCAGGAAAGGTGTCTCGTGTTTTCTGACCTTCAGTGGTGTCTGTGATTTACAACATGTACATAAGTACAACAGCTGTCATAAAACCATCACAGAGGCTGCTTCAGGTTCAGGTTTTGGTTTCAGGGTTTCTTCTTTGTTGTACTTAAAGGGTTATGTAGTTTTAACAAAAATGCAAAAGATCATCAGTGTGTCATGTCAACCCTCCAGCCTCTCTGACTGTGAGTCCCAGCTGCTCTCAGCATTTTGAAGGAGAGTTTGTCTCTCTGAGCTGTGAGGAGGACGACAGCTCTGCTGGATGGACGCTGAGGAGGAACACAACCAGAGAAACCAGGACTCAGTGTGGAGCTGGCTGGGGAAGATCAGCTGGTTCTTCCTGTAACATCAGCTACATCGACCCAGTGGACAGTGGAGTTTACTGGTGTGAGTCCAGAGAGGGAGCAACCAGTAACACCATCAACATCACTGTCCTGGTAAGATCAGACTGTGGAGTTAGTGTTGATGAAGCTGTGTGTAAATGATGAAATGCTGTAGTTTGTCTCTGTGTTGAGGTGGACCAGTGATCCTGCAGAGTCCTGTCCTCCCTGTGATGGAGGGACAGGATGTCACTCTGCACTGTAAAACAGAGATCCCTCCCTCCAACCTCCCAGCTGGTTTCTATAAAGATGGCTCCCTCATCAGGAATGAGCCTACAGGTCACATGACCATCCACCATGTTAACAAGTCTGATGAAGGCCTCTACAAGTGTAACATCAGAGGTCGTGGAGAGTCTCCATCCAGCTGGATCTCTGTCACAGGTGAGGAGGTTTCCTTTGATTTCAGGACTTATTTCATCCAGAGATTCACCTGACCAGGTGGATTCTCTCTACAGGTAAACCTACAACCACAGACCCGCCCACCTCTGTAGCCCCGCCCACATCTGGAGCCCCACCCCGTGCCTCAGACCCCCTCCAGCTTGTGTTCAGACTGGTCTGCCAGCTGGTGGTGTTCTGTCCGTACTGCATCTCCACTGTCCTCATGGTGTCTTTATATCGACACAGGGCCACAGGTAACACATTAATCATTAATCAATCAATCAGTCTCTCTCTGGTGTAGATGATTGACAGTCTCTAATAGAAGCTTGTAAACGATCAACATTTTCTTTCTAACCTGCTCTGACTGCAGGAAATGACCTGCCTGTTTCCATGGTGATGACCCCTTCCACCCAGGCTGAGGAGGGATTGGTTGATGGCCATGATGACATCATCAGCGCTGTCACCACAGAGCGTCACTTCTGAGCTGTTCACAAATCAAAGAAAAAAGAGATGTGGTTTCAATCGAAGATGATGAAAGTGAAACGTCCCGTTTTGATCAGTCACAAACCTTTAACTTCTACTTCAGATTCTGATGCAGCAGCACCAAAACAAGCGGTGGAAGCTGATTTACAAAGGTGGAAAACCTCTTTATCGTCTTCTCACTCTCACTTCCTTATTAAATATCATGTTTTCTAATGAACTGCATCACTTGTGGAAAACAAAAGCCCACTCTTTGTCCTCTGAGTCTTCTTGGGGTCAAAAGAAACCTCCAGACTTTCATGGTTTCAGCTGTACTTGTATAAAGTGAAAAATGTGATGTTTCATTTATAATTAAACATCATATTTTATAAACTGTTGATGTGTTTGTGTGTAATAATCTTAATTTGTAAAGTAAGTTGTAACTAAAGCTGTCAGATAAATGTAGTGAAGTAAAAGTACAATATTTCCCTCTGAGATGGAAGTAGAAGTAGAAAGTAAAGTACAAGTAATGTGAATGTCCAGTTTGTCCTGAGGGACGAACAGACTGACAGTGACAGGAAGCAGCCAGCAGGAGGCAGCAGAGGAGCTTCAGTTTGTTCAACAGATGATAGTTTTCACTTTAAAGTCACAAAGTCAAACAACCAGTCCTCCTATAATGGAAGATCAGCAGCCCAGTAAGGTTGTTGTTATTTCATTAAACAACAGTTTATTATGCTTCCTCCCTCTGTTCTTCTTTGTGGTTTGCCATGCCACCTGTTCGGCTCTCTTGCACGTCCCATTCTCTTCTTTCTATCTAGACTCTGTCCCCTGTCTTGTTCACCTGTACACAATCAGTTCAACCAGAGCCAATTCCTCTCTCCTCCAATCAGGCACCGTAAGGTGTGTGACATAATCAATCCCAGCTGTCTCCCATCAGTCCACTTGATCCACACTTCAAAACCAATAAATATAAACCATGCAGTAATCAGATGGCGCCAGTGTGTAAGGCAAGCCGTCTGTCAGCATCATGCTGCATCTGCTTTTTGTTTGCTCTTGCCTTATTTCTCTGTTTTTGCTGCCCGGATGCAGGGCCGGCCTGTGGCATAGGCGACATGGGCAGTTGCCTAGGAAGAAGAAGCGTCCCAGGAACAGGGCAGGAAGTCAGACACAGAAACGGCAGAGAAACGGTCAATTTTCAAAATAAAATACCCATTACAGACTTCCGATCGTACATCAACAATAAACACAGTTAAATCAGACAAAATAAAACATTTTTACTACGTACAACATAAATCATAGTACACGTTTGTGGATTGTCTTCTGTGGGTTACAAATATTAAGTACAATTAAATCTTCCAAATTTTTGTGCATGTAATAGGTTTGCAAAGTGAAGAAGCACGTCGTTTGTAGTCCAGCCATTTCCCTCTCATCCTTGTGATGACAGACTGTTCAGGAGGCAGAAACCTCGCAAAGCAGCTGGGCCGGATTCTGTCTCCACATCCACCCAGAAGCACTGTGCTGATCAGCTGTTTACAGACATTTTTAACACCTCACTGGAGACATGCAATGTGCCAGCCTGCTTCAAAGCCTCCATCATCATCCCCTGTCCCCAAGAAACCAAGGACCACCGGACTAAACGACTACAGACCTGTTGCCCTGACCTCTGTGGTTATGAAGTCCTTTGAACGCCTTATGTTGTCCCACCTAAAATCCATCGCAGACCCACTCCTGGACACTGTGCAGTTTGCCTAGAGAGCCAACAGGTCTGTAGATGATGCAGTAAACATGGCCCCTCACTTCATCCTCCAGCACCTGGACTACACCACTATCCTATTTGTGGATTTCCGCTCTGCTTTTAACACCATCATCCCGGCCCTGCTGCAAGACAAGCTCTCTCAGCTGAACGTGCCTGACTCCACCTGCAGGTGGATCACAGACTTCCTGACTGACAGGAAGCAGCACATGAACCTGGGAAAACAAGTCTCTGATTCCAGGACCATCAGCACTGGTTCCCCTCAAGGTTGCGTTCTTTCCCATCTGCTCTTCTCCCTGTACACCAACACCTGCACCTCCAGTCACCAGTCTGTCAAGCTCCTGAAGTTTGCAGATGAGACCACGCTCATTGGGTTCATCTTTGGTGGGGATGAATCCGCCTACAGGTGGGAGATCGACCATTTAGTGACCTTGTGCTTTATTTCCACAATTGAAAGGCGCAGTATGGAATAGTTATGGCAACTATAGGTGAGCACAAATAACACTGCTGGTTTGAATGTTAACATGTGATACGGAGTTAAATTAAATAGGCCTATGTGAGAACCATCGTTATCGATTCCTCTCACATTCAATTTTATTTTGATATTAAACCACTACATACATGATCAAACTTTTTTTGCGTATGAACGGACATAATTAGGTTTTTGATTGACTGCTTCATTGACATCTGCACAGTAACAGGAGTGAAAACGCTATTTTGAAACATTTGGTGAGTTTTGCCACTTTGGAGTTCACTGAAAGAGCCAGACAAAAGTTTGCGGAGGGTCTGCACATTTTCACGTCACGTTCATTTTCCGTTCATTTTCATACACCCAACGTGTGCGTAAAAAACAGCGTACGTAACCTTTTTGTGCGTAGGCAGCGTTTATACACGAGGCCCCTGGAAACAGATGGCTAATTATAGACAGGGTTACTGGGTTATTGCACAGGAGCTGTTCCTGACACTGTGACAACAACACACAGGGTGAAAAGAGGAGCTGCAGCAATGTGCAACGTGACAAAAAATAAGGTTGTTTTTTGAAAATTAAACCATGTAAACCTGTTCTGGTACAACCTCATAAATCTTTAAATTGTCACCTGCTCCTGCTAAATCAGCAGAACTCGTTTTTAAGGCTGTTTGGAGTCTGGAGAACAGACCAGAGTCTCCAGCTACTAATAAAGTAACGCTGCCTCATGAATCTGCGGGACAAAAAGCTTCAACATCTTGGATTCTGCGTGTCGTGCCGAAAAGTGATTGTTTGCCGAAAAGTGATTGCCGTCTGCTGGAGCTGTATTGCCCAGTCTCTTTCTGGCAAGTGATATAGCCTACTGCATTTTATGGGTTGTACTGGCCATTTAAAGGGGTTATTTTAAGAGGTAAAAAGTACTAGGTGAGCTATAATCTGTTAAATATATCTTCTGAATGAAATCAACTAATTTCAGGGCAGAAATAACCTTTCAGTCAATAACAAAAGGCTTCAATCATTTTCTGGCAAGTGAAATACTGCATTTTATGAGTTGTATTGGCAATTTAAAGGTATTTTAACAGGTAAAAAGGACTGGGTTGGTTGGTAGGCCTACACAGCAAGTAAAATAATGCAGAGTCATAAGGATAATAGCAAAATTGTCTTCATTTTATATCTTAGTTGGCAGTAAGTCATGTTAATTAGGCTACAGCCCGTTTTCCAAATATAAACAAATATATTACACATAGGCCTACCAAACATCACTTTTCGGCAGACGATCACTTTTCGACACTGCGGCTAAATGTTATTTATCACTTAGCAACAGTAACTAAGGGGGGCTTAGCGTGCTTCTAAGATGGCGCGAGAACACTGCGATCCACGAGGTCCCGCAGCGCTCCTGTATCTGAAGAGCTCCGACAGTTAGAAAGGAGACCTGCTGGATCTCAGAGACCAGGACCAAGAGCGGGATGGAGGAGGACAACCAGGACCCGGAGCCCCGGAGCAACAACGTCCCCGGAGGACAAACAGCAGGCTCGAGCTCTGATAGCACCGATGTTCAGGTCAGTGTTCATGAACACAGCTAGCAGCTAACAAGAAGCTAACGTGGCGTTAGCTCGGCCTGGTTCCGACACGTAGCTTCATATTGACTGTAAACAAGATGTAATGTAGCAGGATTCAACAGTGGAGCCATCAGAACCCCGTATCTCTACAGAACCCACACTTAATGTGACGGTCGGAAACCGGAGAGGAGGAGGAGGAGGAGCAGGAGGAGGAGGTCTCTTGTAGCATGTAGCCTGCTGATGTTAGCTTGCGAGCTAACTTAGCTAGCTCAGACTGGACGACGCTGAAGCAAACTTCCGGTTCGGCAGTTAACTGAACGTTAAGTTGCTGAGCAACCGGTGCTCCGTGTTTTGCTCCTCTTACTGTTGTGAAAGCTGTTAGACATTTTAGCTGCTGTCTGAATCCACTTTTACATTTATTAAACCTTTTTATGTGTTTAGCATGTAGACTTTGTATCATATTGTCAGGTATGTGCACACATACGAGGAATTTGACTCTGGATTGTACATTGCTCATAATGTGCTTACTCATACAATAATACTATAATAAAAACTATAATAAAGTCAAACACATGCTACAGAATAGAGAACAGAAATACTATAAACAAAAACAGAACAATATAGACAGACTGACAAATAGTGCAGTGAGCAGAGGGCAAAGGATGCAGGAATAACTTATTATAATGATGATTATTATGTACATGTAGGACGTGGTTGTGATATACAGGTACACGTACATGTACACGGTACGATGGCCCGATTGGGCCAGTGCAAAAACATTAGTATTAAAAAATATATAATTAGAAACTGAACATCCTGCAGTTGTCCAATCCAGAGTTACATGACGAGTGGTTGTCAAATGTTGTTTCTCTAATCTCAATCATGCGGCAACCTCTGGGTCTAAAAGTCAATATATAAATAATAAAATAGAAATAAAGCAGCGTATGCTTTTGGGCAGGACTAACCAACGCGTTCTCATCTCAATAACTCATAACTGACGCTTTCAGCCATAAAAATGAGGCTGAAGCAGAACATTAAAAAATATAGTTTGAAGAGGTTTAAGTTGAATGATAAAGCATGATTAAAAGTCTTTTCACACAGGAAGCGACACTCTGCCTGTATACTAACCTGGCCCGATAGGGTGGCTCTGTGCTTCTGATGTGAACAGATACGGAGACAAGCGCTCCGCGGGCAAACGCAAGGCGCTTTATAGATGGTAACCACGACACCGGCTTCTGTGCGCTACTATATTCCTTCATAGCCTAGCTTAAAGTAAAACTATGGCTGTGTTCGAAACAGAAGGCAGGTGCCTCGCTGCCTCGATACCATAATAGACCGCTACCTCAGAAGGCATCACTTTCAAGTGAAGGCTGTCAGAAGAGAGCATAGACTGTATGTAAGACACGCTAGACTTAGCATCAGATAACTAGCTATTGAAAAGCGAAATGGCTAACGGATGCCTCAGAAATCATACTGATAATACTAGGTTGCTTACAGTCACAGGCTAATATGATAGTTCAGTGTTTTGTTCTCGTTAGTTTTTCAAAAATCGAAGCGAGAAAACTACTAAAAACTTTTTAAAAACATGTATTTGTGTAAGAATTTGGCCTATTTATCCGCCATCTTGACGAGTTTGCGAAAGCTATGGCGGCCGCAGCCGTGCTGCTACATGGGTAATAGTCAGCATTAAGTCACCATCGATGCTGCCTTCAAAACTGGCCATTACTGTGGCAGCTTGAAGGCATCTCAGGAGACAGTAAGAGAATGTGGAACAGCACTCGATGCCTCGCTTTCCTGTTAGACACCTTCTGAGACAGCAGTTCAGCCCGTTTCGAACACAGCCTATAAGTAATGTTAGTTGATAGGCTATATTATAAATGCTATTCATATTCATAGGCCTAAAGCTGATAAATCTCATCATGCAAACGCTCTCCTGTTAATGTCCCGATAACTGTTCGGTGAACAGGAAAGATTGCAGCTGACTCCTCCCACTCCGGACACAAACTGTTTCAGACTCTCCCCTCTGGCAGGAGGCTGCGGTCCATCAGCACCAAAACCTCTCATCACAAAAACAGCGTCTTCCCGTCTCCAACTAGCCTCATTAACAAGGCCCGAGTCCCCCACTGACACTCCTCCCTTGCAATAAGCCTTCATGTTAAAAGTCATTTCTGCCCCGCTGCTGTCATGGTAACGTAACGTTAAACTGCAAGTCATGTAACGATCGGATGTTTCATATTTTGTGTTTATTTAACGCCCACGTATGAGCGAGAACAGCTGAATCTAATTACAACCTGTGACTGTCTGAACGGTCTGTGAGTCCTTTCAGGTGTTCACTGATGCAGAAATACATTTTATTATCATACTGCATTACTTAATATTTAAATTAATCCATGTCAGAAACATTTAAAGTTTTAAGTAAAGTAGCCTAATTAATGTCTGTTATTGTAATTATCACAACACATCAGTGACGTGGAATTAATCAAAGAAACAACAGTTTAATAGAATTTACCGCAGGATTAGGCAATCCTGAATAATATTTAAACTCATCAATATCTAATTCTACTTATTATAATTATAGTTTAGACTTTTTAGTGTTATTTCGCCCCAGCACAGGTCCTGCTCAGGCAGGGCTGAGTCTTGTTAATATGTTTGGTATCCAGCACATATCGCTATAAAGTTTTTGTGGATGTGCAGTCGATCATTTTAGCCATATTAACATATGAGTCGAGCACAATGCGTCACATGTTTTCAGAAATAAAAGCATGTTTGACATATTCTTGAGTTACTGGATTTTAACCAGAAAAGGAGCAGTCAACATAAATGAACTGCAATCCAAAAAATAGTCCTTTCATCAAAGTGCAAATTCAACAATATGGATTATTTAGTTTAGGTATAAGCTCTCTGACGACAAAGGGAGCTGTTGATGATTTTCTGTTTTTCTTTTCTTTAGAGCATTGTGAAGCTACAAAATATGGTAAAGAGAGTTTCCCAAAGCCTTTTCCATAATCAGTACAAGGTGAGTGGGCACGCACGCACACTTGAAGTACAAATTACAATCTGTCACAACGCTGATGATGATATTTATGAAAGTAACTGGCTTAATTAGTTTGCTATTGATGATGTTACTTATTTTTTTCTTCCTCTTTCCTCTCAGACCCTCGTTTCATCAACCTCTGACCCCAGTGGATCATCAGTAAATGAGTCCCGAAACAAACAGGTTAGAGACAACTGATAACAGACAGACACTCACAGTTAAATTGTCTTTCTTTAAACACAGAGTTAACAACAAAAACAGACTTATTGGTTGTTGGACAACCAACAGTTGTGTAGACATGCCTTCTCTATTGTTTTAACAGCCGAGAGTGTTGTTGAATTTGTGTTTGTGACATGTGACACAGTGATTTACAGTGAAAAGCATGATGCGTGACTTCCCACGCTTCACTCCATAAATATGTTTAGTTTATTTAGCACCATTAACTTGTTCGGTCCACTGAATAGTGAGTTCCTTAGTGATCAGCTGCTGCTGCAGATGTGACAGACAGGTGGAAATCAACATCTGTACAGCAGTTTATTTTTACCTCAGTAAACACTTCAATGAGGTCTCAGTCGCTAGTTTCAAGTCTTCTTCAACACAGCATGATGTTCATTTAATAAATAATGGTCCTATTTAGGAGAAAATAGACAATAATGCAGCGTATGCTTTAGGACGGGACTACCTTATGATTGACAGGTTGCTACCATGGCAAAAATCTGTACTTTTACTGCCAGAGTTTCCCGTATGTGCAGCAGTCATGTGGTGCACCGCCGCTACTAAAATTTCCCACAATAATTAAACTATGCGCTACAAATGTTTTCACTCGCACACTGCAACACTCAATGCTTGGCTCGCTTTCTCTCATTGTTCTATACAAAACATCTACGTAAGAGATGCTGTTATAACAGTGTAACTCCTGTAAGGAATCAGGAGGTGCGTAGCGAGTGTTTGATTGTCCGAGCGGCAGAAAGTGATGGTGAACGTGAGCGGAGGTAAATATTCTGGCAGTAAATGTACAGTGTTGGTTACAGTGTGTCTGCTTCTCAAGACCAAAAAAAGTCTGTTGTTTCCCCACCTGCTGAAAAAGTGAAGCCTGTTAGCGCTAAGTTAGCTAACACCCCCCCCTCCCCTTCAGACGAGCTGAGCAGGAAAGCTTCAACAGCAGGCTGCGTCTTTTGGCTGCTATGTAACTTAACATTAGCTGAATAGAAAGTAACTGGTAGCTGTATTTTATCACTGCCTACTTGTCCAATGTTGAGAACATCAGTTACAATCTGAAAGTAAACTGGTGTAGGGCTGCAGCTAACGACGATTTTAGTATTCAAAGCTTCTATAGATTATTTCAACGATTCATCGATGCGTCATTTAAGAAGTACTTTTGCTTGGCGGCGCTGGTTTTCAAACCACTTTTATCAAGAAAACACACGTGAAATGTGAAACGGGAAATGACCGAACCTGCACACGAAACAGCTGTTGTTTGTCGTTCGAAAGATGGCAATTATAAAGACAAAGAATATGGTTGAAAGGATGGATTAGCACACACAGGTAGCAGGGATTGTCTGAGCATGTGGATGTAACTGATGTAATTTTTCAACCACAGATGATCTTCCTCAGGTAAACGTGAAGAAGAGAACACACCTGTATTTTAATTTTTTTTATTTAATAAACATTGCAGAATTATTTCCTTATTTGTTTTGTTTGACAAATCATAATTTAATATGAGACAACAAGAAAATAATTTGTTTTTAAACAGTCTTTACTTATTGGAGTACCAACAGACTATAATATTAATGCAGTATTTTGTACTCACACTTGATGGATACACAGTGGGAATACTGACTGCTGTAAATGTGGCAGGTTATCTAATCCGGAGATGATGGCTTGAAATAAATACAAGTGTATGTTCACTTTTTTTTTACCTTTACCTAAGTTTTGATGACTACTTTTACTTCTACTCGAGTACAGTTTTTGGCTACTCAAGGAAAAGTACTCACTAAACTATATAAATCAACAACACCAACTATAATTGATTATATTTATATTCAAATCAGTGCTGCTAATGTTGATCAGGGCATCATAATTTTTTGTCAATTATTTCTTATAATGTATGCACTTACTAGAGCGCAGACCTCTGCCCAGGAGGTATATTGAGTCGTGACGCTGTATAACAAGTAATATCTGGTTACCTATATTAAGTTACCTATTAAATCAATTAAAGGGGAAATCAGATTATTGCGTACCATGTAAAAGCTTTAATAACAATGACTTTGATCTAATTATTTACAGTAATCCAATTATTAATGGACTAATTTATTGTCAAAACAAACCTACATGTTTGAACAAGAGAGCGGCAGAAAGTGAGTGAGTAAGTTGATGGTCTGGCAGTAAATGTGCTGTCCGTTGTTTCCCCAACTACCTTAAAGTGAAGGCGGTAAGTGCTAGCTAACATCTCACTGTGCTATAAGCCCTTTTCACACGGAAAGCGACACTCCGCCTGCGTAGGCTAGTCGCCTGGCCCCACGGGGTCGCTCTGCGTAGCTCAGCGGTTTCTGTACGCGGGCTTATGCGTGAGACGAGCATGACCGCGACAGTTTCACGGGAACACGCCCGCTTGTCGCTACGCCTGTCGCAATGCCCGCGCCTCCCTTCTTACACGCTCGCCTCTCATTGAATATGAATTACGAGGTGCGTAAATCGCTTCCTGTGTGAAAAGGTCTTAAGTCAGTTCAACTGTGGCTGATGGACGATGCCTGACAGACATCACAACATTGAGCCGACATCGTGATTGTAAAAAACCACGAACATTCTTATTGTTTTTAAGTATGCTTTGCACCTGCCTCACACACACAAATAATTAGTTGCAGTCCTAGTCAACAGCTGCTCTAGAGTCTTATCAATTCTAGAATGAGGTCTCATTTAAAAAAAATCAACCTGTACTGTGTTGGACCACATATGAAAGTGTCTTAAATCCTAACTGGAAAAGATCCGAGTCCATGTACCTGGGGCTATCCACACTGTAAATTAATAAAATCAGATTTGAGCCAAATTTGAGCAAAACAATCCTATCAATCAGCCAGCAGTCTGAAAGCAGCCTATGACACGTTGATTTTGTGGCTGTCAGTTTGACTGTTAAAACACTTTGACAAAACTGGTAATGCATTAGTCATACTTGAACATCGTGGGTTATGTTCCACAGACGTGCTCAAAATGTCATTTGTGGTTCTAGATCGCTCGCTCCACTCACTGTTTCTCCCTCTGTATGTATGTCTGTCTGATATAGAAACGGAGAGGAAAAGACGGAGACACACATCACCGCTGTGACGAATCCTTCACAAGATCTGTATCAGTAAAGATTCATCAGAGTGTTCAAACTGGAGAGAAAAAGTTCAGGTGTGAACAGTGTGGAAAAGCTTTCGCTACATCAAGTAACCTAAAAAACCACCTAGGTGTTCACACTAGAGCGAAATCAAACTGCTGTGAACAGTGTGGGAAAGCTTTCACTAAACCAAGTAACCTAAAAGCACACCTACGTCTTCACGCTGGAGAGAAACCGTACAGGTGTAAACACTGTGGGAAAGCTTTCGCTACATCAAGTTACCTAAAAACCCACCTACGTCTTCACACTGGAGAGAAATCATACTGTTGTGAACAGTGTGGAAAAGCTTTTGCTAAATCAACTTCCCTAAAAAACCACAAACGTGTTCACACTGGAGAAAAACCATACTGTTGTGAACAGTGTGGGATAGCTTTCGCAACATCGAGTAACTTAAAAAGCCACATACGTCTTCACACAGGAGAGAAATCACACTGTTGTGAACAGTGTGGGAAAGCTTTCAGTACATCAACTTACTTAAAAAGACACAGACATCTTCACTCTGGAGAGAAACCGTACTGGTGTGAACAATGTGGGAAATATTTTGCCACATCGAGTATCCTAAAAAAACACCAACGTGTTCACACTGGAGAAAAACCATACTGTTGTGAACAGTGTGGGAAAGCTTTCACTACATCAGCTCACCTAAAAGATCACCTACGGGGACACACAGGAGAGAAACCGTACTGGTGTGAACAGTGTGGGAAAGCTTTTCTTACATCAAGTTACCTACAAAAACACCTACGTGTTCACACTGGGGAGAAACCATACTATTGTGAACAGTGTGGGAAATTTTTCACTGAATCGAGTAGCCTAGCACAGCACAGACGTGTTCACACTGGAGAGAAGCCGTACTGGTGTGAACAATGTGGGAAAACTTTTAGTCATGGTAGTTCCCTTAAAAAGCACCAACGCAGTCATGCTGCTTTGTTGTAAAAATGTTTCAGAGCCTCCTCCTCATGTCCTGATGCTGTGTTGTTGTATTCTCTACAGGCTGAGGATTAGACAAAAGTAACTTTATATTCTGAGCAGCATGTTTTTTACTGCGGCTTCTAGAGCTCTACCAATTTATTGGCATGCCGATGTTATCAGATGATATAATAGGGCTGGCTGGTCTATTGGTATAATGAGGTATTCCGATATGATTAAAGAGAGAGAGATAAAATCAAACAATACAGTTTATACCAATATAGTTTGATGTTGAGTTAATTAATATTCCTGTTAAGTCCTGCCAGCGTTTGCTGCTCTCCCTTCCTCGCTGCGCAGCCCCGCTCCTCCCTCTGCATGCAGCAGCGTACTCACAAACTCTCTAACAACAGGGAGGGGGAGACAGTGCTGAAGACCTGACTTGTAAAAAGTAAGTTGCAGATGCATTTAACATTTAACAGCAATGTTTTCTCTGGGTCACTGTATCACAGATGGTGGTTGAAAAATGGACTCAAGGCTGAGAAAGGCTTTTCTCATAATTATTCTCTAACATTAAATGTCTTGGTTATGTTTCTCTGGTTCGGACTCTCAAATCGCTCTCGGGTATATGAGCTCCTCCCTTCAGCTGAATCACTCTGTTATTCTTAATTTTAATAAATTCAATAAAAACATCTGCTGTAACTTGTTTATTTGTTCAAGGAAATATATTGGGACCTGGTTCCATCTGTTCAGACCATATCAAATATTTGGTTTATGTATTTGTATAAATTATGTTTATGGAGACCTGAATAAAGCAGAGTCGCAGACATCACTGCATAGATGAGAGTTAACTATGGAGATGGTGGTGCAGAGCTTTAATCTCCTTGGTGCAGTCATTTATTCAAAGTATATAAGAAGTGCCCTTTTTTCCATCAATCCATGGCAAAGTCTCTAAAGTGCATGATAGTGATTGTGGGCTAAGCTCAAGAGTGTTTCCTCACTGCTAAATCCGACTGCGAACTCTAATATAACTTTCCACTGCATGTATAATACATGACAGAGGTGTGTGTGTGTGTGTGTGTGTGATGTTGCAGACTTGCAAAGAGAAGTTTCTCTCATAAATGTGTGACTATAATGTCAGAGAATATTCATGTTTTTTACTTTGTAGATGAATCTTGGAAATTAAATTTTGTCTTTGATTATTATCCTTCTACACTGGCTTTTTTTTTCTATTACAATGGAGCCTATGTGCACTTGTTTCTTTACATCCTAATCATATTACACGTAAAAGAAGAGCCTCTAAAATACAGAAGAGATTTGAACTACAATAAGAATATTATGTAGATAATTAGTCTTCACATTTAATCATGACGATGCCAACAAGCCTCCCTGGCTTCTTATTTGGAGCTCAGCTGAGATGAAGTGGAAGCGACAAAAGGAAGAAGAGAGAAGCCTTTTGGCCGAAGAAGAGACTGAACTGAAATAACAATAAAATTAGCCCTTATCACTTTTTCTTTCCTGAAACATTCAGGACCGTATATGCTAACCTTCCCGTTTTTTCATTGCCCTCTCCTAGGCAGCTGTACTGTTTTCCCCAGCTCCCCTGTTTAATGTTACAGTAGTTTAGTGGTGCAGCCTACGCTGCTGTAGCTTTATTTCTGAAACAGAGTGGCAAAGGAAAGTGTCTACAGGTGGATGTGTAATTTGGCAGAACAGATGTTGTAGGCTAACGTACCTGCCGAGATTTGCGCCCACCCCTTTTCCCAGCATAAAAGAGCGTTACCACACGCGAGGTGCATGCAATTCTCGGCAGGCAGGCAGAACACCTGCCGCTGCAAAATGTCACCATGATGTCACATCACCATGACATGACATTATCTCGCGGGAGCAAAGTGGCGGCAGGTGCCGAGTCCGGCTCAGGCAGTTGTTTTTCTCTGGCTGCACAAAGTTGCAACCACCTTTGCCTGAACATTGTTCTAAGCTCACGCAGTCTACCCGAGGTGGATTGTGTCTCACGGTGCTGTTTTTTTTACCTGGCCCTGCAAGAAAGAGCTGATTTAAAAATTTGCGTTTTCGGAGATGTGAGGTCCCGCCTGCTAATAGGTCCGGCCGTCATCAAGTCCGCTGCCGTTCCAATAGCTGAATGACTGACTGCGTGCTCCCGTTCCTGGGAGATTGTACTCCCGAGCCGAACTTGCTCAGTCTGAGCTTTAAAGTACCTAAGTCTGAACTTGGCGAACTCTGTATTGACAAACAGCCACTGTCTCTGACGGCTCTTTCAGAGGTATGTGGTGTCCGAACAATAATGCTGCGATGATGTGTTGAGAGGAAACCTGCTTGACACCGTTCTTGATCATAAAAGTTTATTACATCAAGAAGTTCAGCATCAATTACAAGCTCTGCAGCAGCTTGGAGAGTGACCCAGCCCGATATGTTTAGGTATCTGTTAGGTACCATAGCGGGGTATGAGTCTGCAAAATAAAAGGTCAAACCTATAGAAGGGTACAGGACTATTTTGAAGTAACAAAACAAGGGGTTAGAAGTCAAATTCTATAGAAGGGTTCAGTCCCTACATAACCACCAATCACTGCTCTCCCTGTAGAAGGTCACTGATCCTCTGTCCTGCTGCTACAGTGATATTTTGTTATGAGTCAAATGCACAAATACTGGATACCACAGGTGTGTCAAGCAGGTTACAGACTCTTTTAATGTCGTTCAGAGTTTTTCAAAGTAAAAGCTTGGTTCAACTTCAAATACAAGATTGCATTAAACAAGCTTTTATTTTGGAGGCAAAACAATGAGTATTGCAGTAATGTGAAGTATATCTCTGAATGAGAATGGGTTTGTATTGACCTGGGCTTGACACTGCCCAGCAGGACACTGATGTTGTAGCTTTCGGGTGTGAGCAAGTTAATGTTTTTTGCATGTACCATGGATCTACCAGGTAAACTTACATAGGCTACTGCAGCAACAGACGCACATACAGGTGACGGCGTGTGGGCTTAATGTCTCAATACACAACAGAAATAGCTTGACGTTACAGTTAGCCACATTAGCTGCAGGATATGCTAACGCCAAGTTCAACAGGCAAGTGTTCAAAAAAACAGAAAAGCTACATAAAAATGACAAAACTTACAGGTTCCAAGTTTGAGGTCGGTATAGATCCATCCTTGAGCTGTTCGGCTGATAGATTTCATTTGGTTGTGAAGTTACAGCCTAGTGTTGTGTAATGGTAGATACACAACCGAACCATGAGAACCTGAAGTGGCCTTCCAACTGAAGAGGAAGGTAAGTCTTAACTGAGGACCCGACTTGATGAGAGGACTGACAGATTGCATTTTCATTTTCATTGTGTCCCTTGGAAAACTGCTTGTAAATGTAGATGCAATGCAATAGACTGACGGCGCTGTTTCACTCATTGCATTTGAATAAAGTCCACCATAGAACAGACTTTGACATGTAATGTCAAATGGTCTTCTCATTTCCATTGTCACATAGTTAAAAAATGGCATTTTAATCTTAATTTTGACCTAAAAAGACCATGAGTACATGGACATGTAAATGCAATAGACTGGGGGTGCTGTTTCACTCATTGCATTTGAATAAAGTCCACTATAGAGCAGACTGTCTTTGAAAATGAAATGTCAAATGCTGTTTCCATTTTCATTTTAATATGGTCCTAGAATGCTAACACAAGTATGTGAAAATGATAATGGTTGCATTTTGATTCAAATTTTTACCTAAATAACACGTGGAAAATGTTATTGTGAGATAAAAAATTTTTTTTCAAGTTTGCATGCTAATTTTAATTTAGTCCCCTATATGCTTCCATATTCACCTGTGGAAGATTTTGGAGCAAGGTTTGAGACAAAGCCCTGCACCACTATCTCTATAAAACCAGATGATGGAAAATAAAGTCATCTTCAGATTATTGCAGTGATGTCTGTGACTATGCTTTATTCAGGTCTACGTAAACATACTATATACAAATACATAGACCAAAATATTTGATATGGTCCGAACAGATGGAACCAGGTCCCAATATATTTCCTTGAACAAATAAACAAGTTACAACAAACAGATGCTTTTATTGAATTTATTAAAAGAAAGAATAATTCAACTGAAGGGCAGAGCTCATACATCCGAGAGCAATTAGAGAGTCTGAACCAGAGAAACAGATAGCCAAGACATTTAATGTTAGAGAATAATTATGGAGTTGACAAGACAAAAGCCTTTCTCAGCCTTGAGTCCATTTTTCAACCATCATCTGTAATACAGTGACCCAGAGAAAACATTGCTGTTGAATGCATCTAATACTACATGACTGTTTGACGAGGATCTGCAACTTACTCACGCTAACGTTTCACATTCGAAAGAGGAGCTAGATAACTTTGTTTAGCAGGAAGATGTGTCACATACTCTAGCTAGTTTATTTTTTGATTTAGAGAAGGTGAAAAAAAATTTAATTTGTTGACTTTATGCTGTCATCACCATTTATCTCTATACAATGTGTTTATGATCAAACTGTTATTGTTGCATTAGCTGCTGTAAGCAAGGTTAGAGAATATTTAGAAGTGATGAATTAGGGAGAAATGATCAGACCGTTTGTTAGAACTGCCACTCTGTTTCAGAAATAAAGCTACAGCAGCGTAGGCTGCACCACTAAACTACTGTAACATTAAACAGGGGAGCTGGGGAAAACCCAGGAGAGGGCAATGAAAAAACGGGAAGTTTAGCATATACGATCCTGAATGTTTCAGGAGAGAAAAAGTGATGAGGGCTATTTTTATTGTTATTTCAGTCAAGTATTTAATGTGACAAATGACCAACTCTACTTGAACATAGATCCATCTCAATTGTTTTTCAATTGTCATTAATCAGCAGTTATAAACACCCCGAGCAATTACTTTATATCGTAGGGCAGGGCGATATGGACCAAAAGTCATATCCCGGTGCTTTTAGGCTGAATACCGGTATAAAATACACATCGGTATTTTCTGGGGGGTATTTTCTGTCTCTCTCTTCCTGTATATCTGCTCCAGTGACTTTCTCCATCAGTACTAGGCTTCGTTTTATAAAGTCACTGACAATAAACAGAACTCGTCTTCTGGACTTTTCCTCCAGCGATTCTGTTCACATCAGCAGCTGCAGAGGCAGCGTGTTAACGACGTAGTCTTTCAAACACCAACATGGTAGCTAACGAATGACATCTTCCCTGGTGTGTTCACTGTTGCTTTACGCGGTTCGTGCTTCTAAAAAAACGTCACTGTTTTGCGACTTGTAACATAATGACTCTACAAAATGCGTGGCTAAATATACCTAGTGTGCCGTTAATGGACGGACACAGATGCAGACACCAGTCAGCCCTATTATATCAGCTGATAACATTGGCATGCCAAAAAAACCAACAAAAAAAAAAACATGCTGCTCAGAATATAAAGTTACTTTTGTCTAACCCTCAGCCTGGAGAGAATACAACAACACAGCATCAGGACATGAGGAGGATGCTCTGATAAATGTTCACAATGAAGAAGCATGACTGCGTTGGTGCTTTTTAAGGGAACTACTCTGACTAAAAGTTTTCCCACATTGTTCACACCAGTACGGCTTCTCTCCAGTGTGAACACGTCTGTGCTGTGCTAGGTTACTTGATTCAGTGAAAGATTTCCCACACAGTTCACACCAGTACGGCTTCTCTCCAGTGTGAACACGTCTGTGCTGTGCTAGGTTACCTGATTCAGTGAAAGCTTTCCCACACTGTTCACAGCAGTATGGTTTCTCTCCAATGTGAACTCGTAGGTGGTATTTTAGGTTACTTGAGGTAGTGAAAGCTTTCCCACATAGTTCACACCAGTATGGTTTCTCTCCAGTGTGAATACGTAGGTGGCTTTGTAGGTGAGCTGATGTAGTGAAAGCTTTCCCACACTGTTCACAACGGTACAATTTTTCTCCAGTGTGAACACGTTGGTGGTTTTTTAGGTTACTTGATGTAGCGAAAGCTTTCCCACACAGTTCACACCAGTACGGTTTCTCTCCAGTGTGAAGATGTAGGTGTCTTTTTAGGTTAATTGGTTTAGTGAAAGCTTTCCCACACTGTTCACAGCAGTTCGATTTTGCTGTAGTGTGAACACTTAAGTGGCTTTTTAGGATACTTGATGTAGCGAAAGCTTTTCCACACGGTTCACACACGTACGGTTCCTTTCCAGTGTGAAGATGTAGGTGTCTTTTTAGGTTACTTGGTTTAGTGAAAGATTTTCCACAGTGTTCACAGCAGTTCGATTTCTCTCCAGTGTGAAGATGTAGGTGGCTTTTTAGGTAACTTGATGTAGCGAAAGCTTTGCCACAGTGTTCACACCTGTACGGTTTCTCTCCAGTGTGAAGACGTAAGTGTCTTTTTAGGTTACTTGGTTTACTGAAAGCTTTCCCACACTGTTCACAGCAGTTTGATTTCGCTCTAGTGTTTACACATAGGTGGTTTTTTAGGTTACTTGATGTAGCGAAAGCTTTTCCACACTGTTCACACATGAACGTTTTCTCTCCAGTTTGAACACTCTGATGAATCTTTACTGATGTTGTGAAGGATTCGTCACAGCGGTGACTTGTGTCTCCGTCTCTTCCTCTCAGTTTCTAAATCAGACAGACATACAGAGAGAGAAACAGTGAGTGGAGCGAGCGATCTAGAACCACAAATGACATTACCATTAAGTGAACGAGGTTTACTCTTCAGAATGAAAACTAGTATCAACGCCAGGGGGAAAATATGGAAGACGACCAGATAGGGTAGGATAATCCTATAATTCACTGATTTATTATTGCACTTAACGTGTTTGCTAACTGTTGTCTCTTAGCCAGCATCATCCATGAGACCTCAAAACCAAGAATGCAAAGAAATATGGAGAGGCTGCTCCAAGATAACAGCCAGGCATCACCCAAAACTAGCTCATAATCTGATTTATTGTTAAAATCTAACTTTAAGATTTTTGCTTTGGAATTATATAAAATAAAACCAAATTTAAAGTACTATAAGAAGTGTACTATAAGAAGTGTACACTAACAATGTAATGTATTTTGAATAATTTAGAAATGATGAAGCAGGGGATAAGACACATTAGAGACCCGGGTTCGAATCCACTGTAAGACATCAATGTGTCTCTTAGCAAGATACTTAACCTCTCGTTTCTCCAGAGACGTGCGACCTCTGACATATATAGCAATTGTAAGTCGCTTTGAATAAAAGCGTCAACAAGTTAATGGTGCTAAATAAAGTAAACACATTTATGGAGTGAAGCGTGGGAAGTCACGCATCATGCTTTTCACGCACTGTGAATCACTGTGTCACATGTCAGAAATGTAAAAACACTCTCGGCTGTTAAAACATTAGAGAAGGCATGTCTACACTTTCTGTTGGTTGTCCAACAACCAATAAAGTCTGTTTTTATTGTTAACTCTGTGTTTAAACAAAGACAATTTAACTGTGAGTGTCTTAAAAATACACTTTTCAACCAGGATCCACAACCTGCCCTTTTGTGTAGGCCATCTGCAGAGCTGAAAGCTGCTGTTATCAGTTGTCTCTAACCTGTTTGTTTCGGGACTCATTTGCTGATGATCCACTGGGGTCAGAGGTTGATGAAATGAGGGTCTGAGAGGAAAGAGGAAGACAAAATAAGTAACATCATCAACAGAAAGCTAAATTATTAAGCCAGTTACTTTTATACATATTAATACACAAACTGGAAAAGTTGTGCATGCGTGCCCACTCACCTTGTCATAATAATACTGCCACTCATAATGGAAAGGGCTTTGGGAAACTTCCTTTACCATATTTTGTAGCTTCACAATACTCTGAAGAAAAGACACAGAAAATCATCAACTGCTCCCTTTGTCATCAGTGAGCTTATACATCAACTAAATAATCCATATTGTTGAATTCGCACTTTGAGGAAAGGACTATTTTTTGGATTGCAGTTCATTCACTGTTTAGGGGTCCTCCCCTAAGAACATTTCTCTTAGGAAATAGTTGGAAAAGCTAGAGTAGATGATAAATAAACAACACCCAAAGTTCAGTCTACTGTACGAACTACAACCTTTAGATTTGGGTATTTTACATTTATGGCACAACATGTTTTGGGCATCACCCCGTCAGCCTTAACGGCAGGAAAACCCTGTTAACATGACCTCAGAATCATTATAGACAATTGTTAATGTGGCTTTTTGTGTCTCATTTCACAGTTTGACATTTATCTGTAGACATTAAAAAAATAGGCAAAATGAGAAACTGCCTCTCTTCTGAGGTGCATTGTATTTGCACTAAAAATCCAAAAAGAAACGTCTCCTCATTAGCTTAAAAGGACTAGTTTGCATCACTAATTTGCTTTACTAGCCTCAGCTCCTCCAGTCACCTCCGTCCTTTCTTTTCCTATCAACCACTTTTTCAGACTCATCTGAAACCTGAAAAATAATTTAGGATGAACCAGTCTGTACAGGACAGAGCTGTTTGTACCTGATGTTCTCAACATTTGACAAGTAGATAGTAATAAAATACAGCTACCAGTTACTTTCTATAAACTGAGCTATGTTAAGTATAGCATAGCAGCCAAAAGACGTAGCCTACTGTAGAAGCTTTCCTGCTCAGCTGCACAGTCTGAAGGGGAGGGGAGATGTTTGCTAGCGCAAACTTTCACTTTTCAAGCAGGTGGGGAAACACCACCGCTCCTGAATGCATATAGGGTAAACACTGGGTTAAGTATTCATGTTCAAAACAGCCAGAGTTTTCCACGTTTGTTCTGATCGCTGTTTACATTCCACCTCAGGCCTGTGTTAGTGAGGCGTTACTACACCTGGCCAACCAGATAACTAACGTGGAGAAAAAAACATCCAGACTCCCTGCTCATTGTTCTCGGGGACTTCAACAGAGCAAACCGCAGTCATGAACTCCCAAAGTAGAGACAGCATATTAAGTGTCAAACCAGGGACACTAACGCACTGGACCACTGCTACACAACACGCCTATCGCTCTGTTCCCCGTGCCGCCTTAGGACTCTCTGGTCACTGTCTGGTTTATCTTTTCCAGACATCCAGGCAAAAATTGAAATCTGCTAAACCTGTTGTAAAGACTGTGAAAAGATGGACCAACAAGTCAAAGCTGGAGTTACAGGCCTGCTTTGACTGTACTGACTGGAGTGTTTTTGAGGCTGCATCCACTGACCTGGACGAACTAACTGACACTGTGACATCCAACATCAGTATCACAGATACATGTGTGTGCCGACTACAGGCTAACAGGTCAGTGGATGATGCAGTCAACTTGGGTCTGCATTACATCCTGCAACACCTCGACTCTCCAGGGACATATGCAAGGAGCCTGTTTGTGGACTTCAGCTCAGCCTTCAACACCATCATCCCGGACATCCTCAGCACCAAACTCACCCAGCTCACTGTGCCAGCCTCCACCTGTCAGTGGATCACAGACTTCCTGACTGTCAGGAATCAGCAGGTGAGGCTGGGGAACACCACATCCAGCACCCGGAGTATTAGCACTGGCGCCCCTCAGTGGTGTGTGCTCTCCCCCCTGCTCTTCTCCCGCTACACCAGTGGTCGGCAATAGGCCGCCCACGGGCCAAAGCTTGCCCGCCAGCTATAAGATCTGGACCACGGCCAGATTACTTTGACAGCGGCAAAATGGTGACGAGTTGGCCTACAGATGGGAGGTTGATCAGCTGGCTTTCCGGTGCGGTCAGAACAACCTGGAGCTTAACACGTTCAAAACTGTGGAGATGATCGTGGACTTCAGGCAGGGGTGGAAATTAACTTTTTGGCTCACCTTCTAATGGGACTGGTAGATGAAAAATCCACCGGCCAAACTAATTTTTGTGTCACATTATGTCACATATACCAGTGGTTCTCAAAGTGGGGTCCCTGAGGTGGTTCCAGGGGGTCCCCAGCAAAAAGGGGAATACTTTATTTTCATTATAATTCTATCTATCCACAGTAGCAGAGGGACTGAATGTCTGACTACTTTGGTTGTGGGTTTCATACACTTTCTGTGAAAAAAACAAAAAACATCTAAAAGCAAAACTCTTATCAGATGGGGGACCCTGGGACAAATTGGGGGTCCTCGGTCTAATTTGTGTTATTTTAGAGGTCCCTGATGTGAAAAAGTTTGATAACCACAGACGTATACATTTGTTTCAGTACTTTTGAGATAAGGTATTCTGTTGCATGCAAACTTAAAGACAATACCAGAATGAAATTTGAAGCAAAATTCATTTATTGCTAGTAAATTGTGTATAAACTTACAAGAAACTATTATTCTCATTATGTACATGTTGAAGGTGGATATGATATACAGGTACACAGACATGTACAGTGTGATGGAGCATAATGCAAAGGATGCTGGAAAAAATAAATAAGACCTATGAACTTATGACCTGAGGTAGGTGTATTGGTATGCAGTATATGGTATACATGACGACATAGAATGGTGAATAAATAAATAATAAGTGGAAACCAGTAAACAGGTGGCTGATTAGAGACGGAGTTACTGGGTTATTGCACAAGAATAGTTCCTGACACTGAGTCAGAAAATCAGCTGTTCATCAGAGTGATGGCTTGTAGGAAGAAACTGCTTCTGTGTCTGTTGGTTTTGGCATACAGTGCTCTGTAGCGCCTACCTGAGGGGAGGAGCTGGAACAGGTTGTGTCCGGGGTGAGATGGATCTGCAGTTTCCTGCCCGTTTCCTGACTCTGGAAATGTATAAGTCCTGAATGGAGGGCAGGTTGGCACCGATTATTTTTTCTGCAGTCCTGACTGTCCATTGTAGTCTGCTCCTGTCCTTTTTGGTGGCAGATCCAATCCAGACAGTGATGGACGTGCAGAGGACAGACTGGATGATGGCTGTGTAGAACTGGATCAGCTGCTCCTTAGGCAGGTTGAGCTTCCTGAGCTGACGCAGGAAGTACATCCTCTGCTGGGCCTTCTTGATGATGGTGTCCGTGTTGGGCTCCCACTTCAGGTCCTGGGATGTAGTGGAACCCAGAAACCTGAAGGATTCCACAGCAGACACAGGGCTGTTGAGTATGGTGATGGGGGGCAGAGTGGGGGGGCTCCTCCTGAAGTCCACGGTCATCTCCACAGTTTTGAACGTGTTAAGCTCCAGGTTGTTCTGACCGCACCAGAGAGCCAGCTGATCAAACTCCCGTCTGTAGGCCGACTCATAACTGTCCCAGATGATGCAGATGACCGTTATATCATCACCAAACTTCAGGAGTTTGACAGATGGGTCCCCTGAGGTGCAGTCCTTGGTGTAGAGGGAGAAGAGCAATGCGGAGAGCACACACCCCTGGGGGGCGCCAGTGCTGATAGTCCGGGTGCTGGATGTGATGTTTCCCAGTCTCACCTGCTGACTCCTGACAGTCAGGAAGTCTGTGATCCACTGACAGGTGGAGGCTGGCACAGTGAGCTGGGTGAGTTTGGTGCTGAAGATGGTGTTGAACGCCGAGCTGAAGTCCACAAACAGGATCCTTGCATATGTCCCTGGAGAATCGAGGTGTTGCAGGATGTGATGCAGACCCAAGTTGACTACATCATCCACTGACCTGTTAGCCCTGTAGGCAAACTGCAGGGGGTCCAGCAGGGGGCCTGTAATGTCCTTCAGACTGTCCTAATGACTTCATGAGTACAGATGTCAGGGTGACGGGCCTATAGTCATTTAGACCAGAGATGGAGGGGTTTTTTTGGGACCGGGATGACTGTGGAGCATTTGAAGCAGGAGGGAACTTCACACAGCTCCAGTGATTTGTTGAACATCTGAGTGAAGATAGGGGCCAGCTGGTCTGCACAGATTTTCAGGCACGATGGTGAGACACTGTCAGATTCAGGAACCTTCCTGATCTTCTGCTTTCGGAAGAGGTGGCTTACGTCCTCTTCACAGATCTTGAGTGCAGGTGAGAGGTCAGAGGGGGAAGGTGACTGTTTGAAGATGGCATTGGAGTGGGGGAGGTGTGACTCTGGGATTTTCAAACCTGCAATAGAAACCATTCAGCTCGTCTGCCAGTTGTTGAGTACCAGCAGTGTTGGGGATGGTCTCTTATAGTTTGTGAGTGTCCGTAGGCTTCTCCACAATGACGCAGGGTCGTTGGCTGCAAAGCTTTTATTTAACCTTTCAGTGTAGCTCCTCTTTGCAGCTTTGACCTCTTTAGTCAGCATGTTCCTGGCCTGGTTGTACAAGACTCTGTCCCTACTTCTGAAGGCCTACTCCTTGGTCTGACGAAGCTGCCCGAGTTCCGCTGTGAACCAGGGTTTTTGGTTGTTATATGTGCGGAAGGTTTTAGTCGGCACACACGTCCTCACAAAAATTGATGTAAGATGTCACAGTGTCAGTTAGTTTGTCCAGGTCAGTGGCTGCAGCCTCAAAAAACTGTAACTCCAGCTTTGACTCTTTGGTCCATCTTTTCACAGTCTTTACAGTCTGGAGAAGATGCATCAGACAGTGACCAGAGAGTCCTAAGGTAGCACGAGGAACAGAGCGATAGGCGTCCTTTAATGTTGTGTAGCAGTGGTCCAGTGTGTTAGTGTCCCTGGTGGGACACTTAATATGCTGTCTGTACTTTGGAAGTTCATGGCTGAGATTTGCTTTGTTAAAGTCCCCAAGAACTATGAGCAGGGATTCTGGATGTTTTTCCTCCACTAACCTGGACAAACTAACTGATACTGTGACATCCGCATGGATGAGATTAAATCCCGGTAGGTGAAGTGCGCTGTCTGGGATGCGCTCGATGAGCCAGGATTCGGTGAAACAGAGGGCAGCAGATCTGCAGAAGTCCGAGTTAGTTCTGTTGAGGAGAAGCAGTTTGTCCATTTTGTTGGCTAGAGAGCGGACATTCGCCAGGTGGATTGAAGGGAACGCAGTGCGAAATCCCCGCTGTCTCATTTTAACCAGCGCGCCTGCACGTTTTCGAAGGATCCCATACAGAGCTGCCACTCCTCCAAAGGGTAGCTCTGGGAAAGTTCCATGGTCAATACAGAGCGGTGGAATAGTATGAGCAGTTGAAAGTCCAATGTTTAAGAGCTCTTCTCTGGTAAAAGTTAGCAGAGAGGAACGGCAGAAAACAGCGTTAATTAAAAAAAACACAGAAAGCACTATGGAGTGTAATCCTGAGGCGGCCGTCTGTGGCGCCATCTTGCTAATTTAAAGGAGACCAATTATGCTTTTCCCCATTTTATGACTTATCTACAATGTTATAATGTTGGATGTTCATGTTAAACATGGCCAAGTTTTTAAAAAATTAGGTTAAAGCATTAATCAGAAATCCCTGTGAGCCTGTTCTGAACTGCTTTTTCTACCAACGGCTCCGTTCTACATAATAAGGAGCATGTGCTCCCACACTAACGGCATGGCAACGCTCAGTCTGCCTGTTCTGCCCAGCAACAACAACAGCCTGGTAACATGCTTCAGGTCTTGGCCAATCAGAAGACAGTGGGCTTTGAGAGGGGAGGCCTTAAAGATACAGCAGCATCTACAGCTTGTTCAGACAGAGCCTGAAATGAAGGCCTACACGAAGAATCAGTATAAGAATTATTTTTTTTAAACTTTGAATCATGCAAAGCTCCCATACAGGAGTCACAGAACTACAAAGTAGGACTGGAAAAGCAGTGTAATAGGTCTCCTTTAAGGCCTTTTCACACAGGAAACGATTTATGTTAAAGGTGTTGACAGCCTCCCAAAGCCCTTTTCCCCCAACCACAACCATCAGAAATGTTAGTACCTAAAACTAAGTCACTGACTTTATGCATCTCGACTGGCTAACCCTACAGTTCCTTACTACTCTAACACTACTACGCCTTTGTGTTTGGGAAATAGCAAACGATGGCGTTTCATACGGACGCTAAAAGGGTACCTTTAGCGCAAAATACTCACGCTTTGTCACGCTGTCTGAAAGCGTCAGTTATGACGCATTGACACGTTGGGTAGTCCTGCCTAAAAGCATACGCTGCTTTATGTCCATTTTCCCCCAAATGGGACCATAATTTACTAAATGAACATCATGCTGGGTTGAAGAAGACTTGTAACTGAGACCATAAACCCATTTAAAAGTGTTTACTGAGCTAATAATTAAGCTGAAATGTTGCAACATTTTACCATTATTTGTAATGGAACAAGACTTCTTTTTGCAACCAGTAGACTTGCGCCCTGCTGGCCGTTAGAGAGAATGCAGTTTTAAGTTCCGTCTGTAGTTTCACTTTCAGACCCAGAGGTTGCTGCATGATTGAGATTAGAGAAATAACATTTGACAACCACTCGTCACATAACTACAACTCTGGACTGGACAACGGAGCGCGCCAAGAGCTGCAAAACAACTGCAGGATGTTCAGTTTCTAATTATATATTGTTTAAAGAGGTGGTATTATACTCATTTTATAGGTTCAAAATCTTAATTAGGGGTTGTACCAGAACAGGTTTACAGGGTTTAATTGAAAAAAAACATATTTTTCTCATAATGCAAATTGCTGCAGCTCCTCTTTTCACCCTGTGTGTTGTACGCTCCGCTCTTGAGCTACAGAGTGATGCATCTTACTTGTACAAAATCTTTGTTGGGAGTTGCACATGTGCAGTTCCCAGGTAAGGACTACTAGCCAATCAGAAGCAGAGAAGGGCGGTTCGTAAGAAACAAGGTAGTGAGATCCAAATCAAAGCTGCCTCAGACTGCGACCATAACCTAGCAGATGCTATAAGTTACTCAAGTCTACAACTACACAACATCATTGTTCCACATCTTACCATTAGCACTAAATGTTGAACTGTTGCCGGTGTTCTGACGATCTATGCTGCCTTGCCGAAAAATGCTACCATAGAGCAAATCGATAGACTCGGCTCTACTCGGCCCTGCTTCGTTTTCTATTGCAGATAGTACGTAGCTGGTCATCATAGCGACGCCACACACAACTGTCGTGACGTAATGTTCAATGCGACACACACACCAGCGATCCACACAGCTTTCTCTCTCTTTTAAGTTAAAACGTTTCAACATTCCTCAGCATGTAAAGACAGATAAGCGGTATGAAAACCTTCCAGCTGTGTTTTCCTCTGCTGTTGTTGCTGCAGCGGTCTGTGTGATGGCGGGAGCAGAGGACTCTGTGAGCGAGCGGCTGGCCGGCCTCACACGCTCCTCCCACTTGCGGAGCTACTCAACTCCGACAATATTCATCACATTTTTGTTCCACCATCAATTCTCGTAAAACTGTCAATATTCGAAATCTACACAGCTGATTTCTCACCTCAAAAGTGGATTTAGTGATGAAATTACATATGTAAACTGGAAAATAAAACTGTCTGTTGCTGGCCTCTGTCTGGTGCAGCAATGATGATGCAGTGAATAGTGAATATTCTCTCTGACCAATCAGCAGTCTGTCATGTTTTCACGTTACATTTTAGTTTCCCTCAGCTCGCTTGGAACCTCGACGGAGGTGAGGTGATACGAAAAAAAGTACCTGGAAGCAGGTACAACATTTCTACAGTGGAAAACCCAAACAAAGGTGAGTCGAGCCAAAGGGCCTCCGCTCAGACTAGCTTGGTTTGAGGGTGAGCCTGACCCCACTAGCCACTTGGCAAGCTTTATGATGCGTTTTCATTGTGACGTCACAAGTAAAGGAAGTGAAGGGCTGGACTACAAACGAGCTGTTTTCAAGCGGTTCAGAGCAGAGCTTTCTGTGGGAGATGGGAACTCTCTTTGGGCTGGACTTTTCACTTTGCAAACCTGTTACATGCACAAAAAAAGATATAGAACTCAATAAAGGAGAGTGAAAAAGCCTAAAAGCATAATACCACCTCTTTAATACTAATGTTTTTGCATGAGTTGCTAGTTCAACTGTCCCGACGTTACTTTTTACTGGCCCCGGGCCATCGGGCACCGTTGTTGTCGAGCCCTGCATCACTAAACAGCTGACTCACAGTGTCCACAATTGCATAGGAGTTCTATGCAATAACCCAGTAACTCTGCCTCTAATCAGCCACCTGTTTACCGGACCGCCGACCTACAGCCCATTTATTATTGAGACTTACTACCTCGTGACGGAGCGTTTCTATTTTAACCCACGCAGCTTTTCTAGCATTTACTGTACTGGTTTAGAGGACCAGGAAACTCACAGACCAATCGCATGTGCTCCAATCGTCTCATGTGACGCTGCTCAGCCAATCAAATCTGTGCATACCGATGCTTGCGAGTCGAGTCCGCGAGATTCACCAGAGACGTTTTGGAAACACACGCGAATTGAGGAGACGAAAGGGAAAAGAGATTTCACATGACTTTTAATCAAGAATGTACAGATTTTTACATGTACATTCCTCCCACGGGCAGTTCAAAACCAGAATATCTCATAGATCTCCAATATGCTAGCTGGAGCTCACGTTTCTCACTGAACAACAGAAAGTAGGAAATGAAAGAGAAGAGGAGGCATTACAGCTGTTCATTTGTGTGTTTATTATAAAATTGGTTAAGACTACACTTCATCACTTCAAGCTACACTTTTTATTAAATTTTTTCTAAAAATTAGGCACTTTAATTTAGTTTATTTAAATTTAGAAATTATTATTTGAATAGTTATTATTTATTATCCTTTCAGTTTGATGTGAAAACTGACTGAAATATTATTTGATTTGACAGTCCGTTGTTGACTAAAAACATATAGGTTATAGTACTGAATGATAACGCAAGTTCGTCGTTTTGATGTTCCGGACCTTTGCTTCAGGAAATTTTCTCTAACTAGACCTCTTTGAAATCTAATTGAATACCCCTGTCGTATTGTATATACTGTATACCAAATCCACCTACCTCAGGTACATAACACCTGCACATAATACTTATTTATTCCAGCATCTTTTGCACTATGCTCCATCGTACCGTGTACATGTACGTGTACCTGTATATCACAACCACCTCCTACATGTACATAATAATCATCATTATAATAAGTTATTCCTGCATCCTTTGCCCTCTGCTCACTGCATTTGTCAGTCTTTCTATATTGTTCTGTTTTTGTTTATAGTATTTCTGTTCTCTATTCTGTAGCATGTGTTTGACTTTATTATAGTTTTTATTATAGTATTATTGTATGAGTAAGCACATTATGAGCAATGTACAATCCAGAGTCAAATTCCTCGTATGTGTGCACATACCTGACAATATGATACAAAGTCTACATGCTAAACACATAAAAAGGTTTAATAAATGTAAAAGTGGACTCAGACAGCAGCTAAAATGTCTAACAGCTTTCACAACAGTAAGAGGAGCAAAACACGGAGCACCGGTTGCTCAGCAACTTAACGTTCAGTTAACTGCCGAACCGGAAGTTTGCTTCAGCGTCGTCCAGTCTGAGCTAGCTAAGTTAGCTCGCAAGCTAACATCTGCAGGCTACATGCTACAAGAGACCTCCTCCTCCTCCTCCTCCTGCTCCTCCTCCTCCTCGGTTCCGACCGTCACATTAAGTGTGGGTTCTGTAGAGATACGGGGTTCTGATGGCTCCACTGTTGAATCCTGCTACATTACATCTTGTTTACAGTCAATATGAAGCTACGTGTCGGAACCAGGCCGAGCTAACGCCACGTTAGCTTCTTGTTAGCTGCTAGCTGTGTTCATGAACACTGACCTGAACATCGGTGCTATCAGAGCTCGAGCCTGCTGTTTGTCCTCCGGGGACGTTGTTGCTCCGGGGCTCCGGGTCCTGGTTGTCCTCCTCCATCCCGCTCTTGGTCCTGGTCTCTGAGATCCAGCAGGTCTCCTTTTGTGACTTCTTCTTCTTCTTTAGGGTTTAATGGCGGTTGGCAAACCAGTTTAACGGTGCATCACCGCCACAAGCTGGACTGGAGTGTGGAACGAGAGATTAAGCAGGAAATAAATGAAATAAACAAAAAAAGAAGAAGAAAAGAAAAGCAAAAACACAAAACAAAACAAAAACAAACATAGATTAAATTATTTTTTCTAACTCAGTTTCTTTAAGAAACTTAAGACCTGTCAATGAGATATCATGATGTTTTGCCTTCCTTAATGACTGAAAGAGGCGTTTCCTCTTGATAGTGTATCTCCTACACTGGAAGGAGAACATGTTCAACCGTTTCTAGTTGGTTACAATATATACATTTCCCAGTTGGGTGCTTGCCTATTTTATATAATGAAAGGTTGAGACCTGTATGTCCTATTCTCAGATGAGCGATTATATTTTCTTCTCTGTTTCCAGCCCACCGTCCTCCCAGCACCAACCTGTCTCTGTACATTATATAGGTGCCTTCCAGTTTCACTATTGTCCCAATGCTCCTGCCAAACTGTGCATAGGTCCTGATAAATGTCTTAGCTTCATCTTTAGTTAATGGGGGTTTTTAGGTCTACATGTTTGATTTTGAGTGTTCCTTTGGCCAGAATATCCACCTGCTCATTTCCCTCCACACCATCATGAGCAGGAACCCAAAGGAAGCATGTGGATAAACCCTTTAGCTCCATCCTGTACAATATAAGGAATATGACTTTGATGATATTGGAACTAACTGATGATTTGACAAGTGCAGACAAGCTATCAGATGCAATAACAGTATTATTTGTTTCCCTCTCTTCTATCCACTGCAGGACCAGTAATAATGCAGTCAACGCTGTGGTATACACTGAGACATGATCTGATATTCTTTTCTTAATACATGACTCCCTTGCTGGGATATAAACTGCTGCACCTACACGCCCTGTATCAGGATCTTTGGAGCCATCTGTAAATATAAATTTTTTGGCTTGACTACAGCTATCATTCCACCAGGGTGCACTCTTGGTCCGTTTAGTTCCTGTACTCTTAAGGATTGTTTCCTCAGCTGACTGAATAATCTCATTAACTATTGTACTATTGATTATGTTTACATCTGTCTGGTTCTCCTCTTTGAGTTTCTTTGAATCTGTTTGTACTGATCTTTTGAAAAACATCCCAGTTTGCATTTCCCAATTTCCATCTGGGAGTTTTCTTTCCCTCATCATAAAAACCTTCAATGCCAACTTTAGTTACCACAGGGTAGTGATCACTTCCTATTGTGGCATGTTTGATCACACTCCATGTGCTTAAACCTGCTATTTCACTAGACACAAGTGTTAGATCAAGCGCTGCCTCTGTGTTTTGCACACTATTGTATCGTGTTCCTTCTCCATTATTAATACATACCAAACAGAGATTATCTATAAATTCTTCAACTGCTAAACCATTTAAATCTGTTTTATTGCTGCCCCATAGTGAATTATGTGAATTGAAATCCCCTAACTACCCTACTAACTTCGCATCCGCGGTAAGCTGAGCTATGTTCTCCTCCACAATTAAAACACTTCAGCTTTGTCCCCTCTGCACATTTGCCATACTCGTGGTTTCCAACGCATCTACCACATGTTTGCTTTCCCTTGCACACGGATGCTACGTGTCCGAACCTCATTTGAAACATCTGAGAGGTGGGGGAACATACGGCCTCACATCATAACACATGTATCCAATAAAGATCTTTTCTGGGAGTCTTTCCTCATTAAATATGATGAGTACAGAGAGACTGTCACTTTTAATCCCATTTCTGCTTGCTTTAAGACGTCTGACTTCACTCACTTTAGCATTTGTTACATTTCCCTTTAACATCATCTGCTGTTACATTTACCGTAATCCCTGTAATAACTCCCCTGACCAATTGTCTCAGTTGTCAGAGAACATTGTACTTTCTTGCCATTTATTTTATTCATTCTGACTGCTTTTCCTTATTGTACTTCGTCCTTACATATAATTAGTAATGATCCATTTTGCAATATTTTAGCACTCCTTACCTCCCCAATTTCCTTACTTATGGATATAGTTATTCTCCCCTCTTGCACAAGTTTTACTATTGCCTTTTAATCCTCTCCCCTCCTTTCAGTTACAGTTGCTGTCACTGTCACTCCCATCTCTTTTTACGCTTATTTTTCCTACCTGCTATATTCCACTTTTCATAACTCCCGCCACCTTCAACCATCTCTCCTAACTCACTTCCTGAATCGTCACTTCCTTCTGCCATCTCTCGTCCAGTCACAGTCCTCCTCCTCTGTGACTGTCTGAACTCTTCAGATACAGGAGCGCTGCGGGACCTCGTCCTGGATCACAGTGTTCTCGCGCGATCGTAGAAGCACGCTAAGCCCCCCTTAGTTACTGTTGCTAAGCGCTAAATAGCCGCAGAATCCAAGATGTTGAAGCTTTTTGTCCCGCAGATTCATGAGGCAGCGTTACTTTATCAGTAGCTGGAGACTCTGGTCTGTTCTCCAGACTCCAAACAGCCTTAAAAACGAGTTCTGCTGATTTAGCAGGAGCAGGTGACAATTTAAAGATTTATGAGGTTGTACCAGAACAGGTTTACATGGTTTCATTTAAAAAAAACAACCTTATTTTTTGTCACATTGCACATTGCTGCAGCTCCTCTTTTCACCCTGTGTGTTGTTGTCACAGTGTCAGGAACAGCTCCTGTGCAATAACCCAGTAACCCTTTCTATAATTAGCCATCTGTTTCCAGGGGCCTCGTGTATAAACGCTGCCTACGCACAAAAAGGTTACGTACGCTGTTTTTTACGCACACGTTGGGTGTATGAAAATGAACGTGACGTGAGAATGTGTGGGCCGTGGTGCAAACTCTTGAGCTGCCGTGAAAATGTGCAGACCCTCCGCAAACTTTTGTCTGGCTCTTTCAGTGAACTCCAAAGTGGCAAAACTCACCAAATGTTTCAAAATAGCGTTTTCACTCCTGTTACTGTGCAGATGTCAATGAAGCAGTCAATCAAAAACCTAATTATGTCCGTTCATACACAAAAAAAGTTTGATCATGTATGTAGTGGTTTAATATCAAAATAAAATTGAATGTGAGAGGAATCGATAACGATGGTTCTCACATAGGCCTATTTAATTTAACTCCGTATCACATGTTAACATTCAAACCAGCAGTGTTATTTGTGCTCACCTATAGTTGCCATAACTATTCCATACTGCGCCTTTCAATTGTGGAAATAAAATAAGCCAAGTGCCAACTCAGATTTTAAATCACCGCCCGCTAAATATTTCATCACCCTCTCCGGAGTGTGTACCATGGACACTCACAGTCAGCTGTGGACCAGCCAGCCGGAGCAGGATCGCCTTTACCCCGATATTAGATGTGAATTTAGCTTAGAGTGCTTTAACTCAAGCTGATGGAATTATCATCATCATACAAATCCAAGATAACATCAAATAGCAATAAAGAATTTGCAGAATTCAGCATCAGTAGTTTTTAATAACATCCTCTGTGCATATTTGGTTTTCGTGTGTAAACACGCTGCTCTGAACAGACTGTGCTGTCAGGCGCACAGAGCGCACGGAGACACCGCGCTGGCACACAAACAGATCTGCATTCTCACCTCAACTCACCCGGCACATCTTCACCACCTGCACGTATGGATTGTGTGAATTAAAATGTCTGGAAGTAAAGCAGGACAGTCTCCCATAATCGCTACACTACATCCTCATCATCAGTCCTCATGATGCAGCCAAACAAAATATTTGGAAAATCATATCCACAAAAATACAGAGTGATGTGTACACACAAAACAGTTTTTACACATTTGCGGATTACTTCCTGTCAATTTGTGGGTCACGTTACATTTTTAAGTTCCTTTTTACATATTTGTGGAGTTTTGCCCAATGTGAAATGTGGAGATCTGTAAAAAAAATATATACACAAATATCTCACTACGACAAACTCTTAATGATTCTGCCTTCTTGTAAATTCAACATTAAATGTGACACATGAAGTTATTTCTTTCTTTGTGTAAAAACACGATGTACAAAAAGCTTCAGCAGGATATTTTCATGAGCCTCTGATGTGATAATAACAAGCGCTTCATTAAAACTCTGCTCTGTGTGAAGCACACTCCCTCATACACATCAAATATGATCAGCTGGTTTCAGGAAACCAACTAACTAAACTTCATCTTCTGCCTGAAATCAAGGAGCCATGTTTCTAAACGGCCTTAGCGACAGTAACTAAGGGGGCGGGGCGCCGTCACAGCGAGAACGCGGAGGCTCCGCGGGATCCGGAAGAGCTCCGAGACCAGAATCCACTCAGTCCAGGACAACACGGTCCACCAGTCACAGCGGAGACCTGCAGGACGATGGAGAACCAGAACCCGGACCACAGGAGCCAAACAGCAGCCTCGTGCTCTGATAGCACCGATGTTCAGGTCAGTGTTCATGACTTCATCACGAGACTAAAGACACGAGGAAGAGTCTCGAGGGTCCGTGTATCATCCGTTCATTCTGTTGTTAGAGATCAGAGCCTGAAAACCCGCTCCAGGGTTTGTGTTGACGTGGTTTGATTTCCAAAGTGTCTCCGTGATTCCTGTTTTCATCTTGAAGAGAGGAAGCTGAAAGAAAAACTCACGAGCGTTTCTCTTTTCTTTGTTCTGTGAGTTTCCGCGCGGCGCATGCGCGGTGTAGCGCGTTGTGTCGGGCGCGCGCAGAACAAACCGATGGTGAAAAGTGAAGCAGAGTCATTATATTTCCTCGTTGTTTGGTTATTATTCTCTGACTAAAGCTTAATGTCGGTCCCTGAACCTAAACTGCAATTACTACAGTCAAAAAGCTGTTTCTGAGATCACACAACAATTTATGTATTATATTCGTTTATTTCTCAGCTCTGAGGCCAATAGGCCCTGTATTAATCAACGTGATGTTCCAGCACTGGTGTGATTAATGGTTTTATATTTATATATATAAAGTACAAGCTACACAACAGCTTCATCAAAGTTAAAGGAGGGGGGTGCTGACTCAATAAAAGCTGCCCTGTTTTCGTCCAACCATGTTTCAGTTAAGGACAGACATTGCATGTAAATAGGATAAGAACATGAACCAATAGATATCACCATGAAACTTCACTAGTTGATTACTTACACTAAGACACTATTTGTACCAGGGGCACGGGGGGGGGGGCTGAAATGCTATGGGGGTTCGGGGGCATGCCCCCCCTATTCTCTTTTTAAATAAAGCACTTAACTAGTTGATAAATAGTCTGCAAATAGTTGTATAATTTTTCTCTTCTTTTTAATATTATATATTGCATTGCCTTTTCTATATTTATATATTTCTACATATATTTATGTCAACTGTATGTTTGTCTGCATGTAGCACCTTATCACCAAAACAAATTCCTCGTATGCGTTAAACACTACTTGGCAATAAAGCTCTGTCTGATTCTGATTAAATGCTCATTTCTAATGACTTGTTAAAACAGATTGTACTTATTAGTGTGGCTGAAAGACGGTCTTTGTAGTGACAGAAGATGGAGAATAGACCGGAGAGGGTCCGAGAGACGGAGTATAATATAACTAGAACAAAACCAACTACATACCATAAAAACCATGGAACAGCTGCTAGTTAATGGAGCCACAGTACAAATGTATTCAGTTATCTTAATGTTACAGTTGATGTAGCTTTCTGTGATATTTCCTGACTCTTCCTGCAACAAATGTTTGTGAACACAGAACTGTCTTCAAAGCAAACTCAGACATGCTGTTGGTCTAACAAAGTATTTTTACTACATGAGTTTTAGAATTTACTGCGTCTAGTAGGTATCAATACAACTTACAAGCTCGTCCTCCTCAGTTTTTTCTCCTCCTGCTCCTGTGACCTCTGACCTCTGTCCGGTTAAAATACTGCAGGATGCTCGTCTCTGTGTGAACATTTTGACTACTTTCAAATTGTTTATGGACACGTAACAGAGACACATGCACAACTCCTGGAACATGTTTTTAAGGTCAAGGATGGTCACAGACGGAGGGAGGCAAAATAGTGGCCCAGGAGTTTGTCCGTGGTCAACCTGACAAAGCATGTGTCGGGCCCTCTGGGTCTTTAGAGACCTTTATTCCTGCTTTCTTGAGAATTTTATGCAAGTAGAGTACATAACTAAATGAGCCATTTAAATACATTTTCAAAAGTAGAAACATCTCTCTGACACTCCTAAAGTAAAGTAATCACTTCTGCTGATCCCTTGAGTAGATAAATTAAATGAGCCATATCATCATCAATCTGACCATAAACTGCTGCTTTGACTCTGTTCTGCTGTTGCCCTCATCTCTGCTGTCTGTCTCATGTTCACCATGTCAGCAGTAGTACTGCCAGTGGCAGGTAGAGTACTCAAAATCTTTACTCACATAAAAAGTAAAACATAAAAATGACAAACCTACTCATGTATAAATATAATAATATATTTTATCTGCTGTACATCAGGTTAGAAACAGCTGCCACACGGTTATTTCTAGGGAATGCAATTTGCTTTGCTGGTTGATTATCTTTAGCTATTTCTGTTTAATAATTATTTCCCCTTTTAATTCCCTGAATGTGTTGATAAGACACTTTAAAATATCAGCTTGCTGCCCAGCCGACTATTGTTGCCTCTAAATCTTATTATGGACATGTAGCCAAACAAACCGCTTGCTTTGCAGCAGCACAGGCAGCCAAAACAATCTGATTATTCCTGAAGCATCTAAATAATCTTTACAACGCAAAGAATCATTGTGGTAGTAACACAGAGCAGCTCGTTGTTGAAGCAGGTAAACCTGCATACAGAGGAAGCTGTGCGTCGTGCGTAAAACCAACAGGACTGTTTTATCCACCATATTCTCTCTCTGTGCATCTGAAAAATGATTGTTTCCTGAATAAATAACAGCTGGTAGCTGCTGAGTGAAGCCAAGATTAGTTTCACCGGCGACATTCTGTTCACATCGTTATTAAACAGTAGGCTATGAAAAAAACAAAAACAAACAAAAAACAGGCTAATATCCATCAAAAGAAACAACAGGATACTGTTAAAATATTAGATATTGACTTAGATGTTACAGTGTGAAGTTTAGGTTTTCTCTGCAGAAACTAAAGACGCTTTTAATGCGCCGTTAATGGAAAATTAAAGTAGGCGCCGGCTGGCTTGTTAAAGAGCGACGCAGGCTGCTTTCCAACAGGCCACCAGTGCCATGATGTGCGCTCACTGGATTTCAGTTGTTTCAGTAGAACAATAAAGCCTTAAACTGAAAAGGTATTTGCCTGATTTTCTAAATGTTTATATCTGTCCAGCTCATTCATCTCTGTGATAAGAGTCTGTACCACAGAGGAGACCTGGCGCTCTTCTGCGTAACTGCGCGCACGCAGCCTGGCTGACCGCTCATTCGGTTAACGAAGCCGATTGCAGATTACAGACTGATAAAGTTATGGAGATATGAATGGAGAATGTAGCAAAAGTAAATTACTGGCTCACAGAAAATACTGGAGTAAAGAGTAAAAGAAGGCTACAGTTTTGAAAAAGGAACATGAAAAGGTGCCAATTACTTTTTTATTTTATTTATTTTGTAAAATTACTTGTAATAAGTCACTACCCACCCTGCAGCAGCGTCCTCACTGCTGTCTTCAGGTACAAAAAGAACAGCACAAAATAAACGTAATATTGAGGCACTTTGCTGCACCTGCTTCAAGCGAACTCCTTTATTTTATTTTTTCTCCCTTAACCTTTCAGCACTACATTTGCCTTCTGTCTCATGTTTTCTACAGGCTACTTTATGTCTGCGTTTCAACCGTTTAATCATGTCTGATGCGGAGTGTGTGATTGATTGATTAACTAGTCACTCAAACTGCCGGACAATGAGCCATCTCCAAAATCGCCAAAAAAAAGTGAGGGGGACAAAACATAGATTTTGAAATGTGGGGGGGGACATGTCCCCCTCATGTATAATGGCTCCTACGTTTATGATTTGTACACTATGTGAACAGACACACTTGCACACAAAAAACACGTTTTGGCAAAATCTACAGACGCACAGAGGCAAACTATAGTAAAATAAACTGGACTAAATGGACTTTTTTGCCCACTAGTCCAAAAGAAGACATGTTAAAGTAGCCCAGTGTCTCAAAATTGACCAGTGCATGAAAAACAATACCCTACTGAATGTAACGTTATATAATCCTACTGTTCTGCTTTTTAATGATTGAATTGAGAATTACCAGCTGTACAGGAACAGTGTTGATCCTTAATTTGACTCTTTCTCAATATTTATTTGTCAGACAAATAAAGACCTAATTAAAACCTTCAAATGCAACTGCAAAACTGTCTGCTATTTCTGAAATTGCTTTTTTCAAAAAAAACAAAACAAAATATATATATATATATACACATACAGGAAGTGCAGTAATAGAAAGTGTCACATAGAAAAGTTGGACAGGTCTTAGCAACAGTACCAAAGGGGGCGTGGCTTTGTGAAGGGTCAAATGTGCAACCTGTTACCTCTATCTCCAACCTGGAGTGTTTTTCAAGGCGTTCGGAGAAGGCAGCCAGTGCAGCCAAAATGTTTCCCACTGTGAGAAAATCTTGGGGTGGCGCACCGAAACCAAACACCATAAATGAATTTCAGGAATTAAATCACCTCGGTACTGTATTTCCTTTTGGTCTCTGTGTTCGGTCCCGTTCCTGCCTTGTCTACCGGGAGGCTGCCGAGCGCGATTTTGTTGCGGGTGATGGTTGTGTTGGTCTGTTGATGTTGTTCTGATGTTTTAAGAACTAAAATCATTGTTCGCTTCAGCCCTAAAGTAGAGCCAGACTTATATGGGTTTTTGGAAGCTGATGCCTATATTAAAGTGAAAGAGCTGATTTATGAGACAATATTTAGATTTTGAAAATTATTAGAATAGTGGAGCCCTTTGCTGTATAAATGACCTTTTAGAACAGTCGATATTGAAAGCTATTCTGTATGTGGGCTATGATACCTTTTTCCTAAATGGATTATATTAATAAAATAGTTTACAGTCTCAGAACTTAACATGTAAACAATTACATCCCTTTACTAGCACAGATTAATTTTAATCAAAGCTACGAGAAACCATTTCTAAACAACCATCTTGCACCAAAAAAATGCCGTCTGTGATACAGTGACCTGCTGTTGAATGCATCTAATACTACATGAATGTCTACAACGAGGACCTGCAGCTACAACGTCACACAAAGAGGAGCTAGAGAACTTTGTCTGGCAGGAAGCCATGTTAGATTCTTGTTCATCTCACGTTTATTTACATGTCCCCTCTGGTTTAATCAGTGAGGCAGTATGTGTTTAATGCCAGTGAGTTGCAGAAAGCAAGGAGATTGGTTTTGATATTGTTGCTGCTGGTCCAGGAAGGCACTGTTGCAATCATGTGGTGTAAATCC